TCAGGCCAGGGCGGGTCATTGCGGGTCGGGTTTTTTTGACATCCCTAATATGTACGGCTCTACTTCTATGTCTACTTCTCTTTTGATTTTTGAAGTATAGAAAGGCCAGACCAATGTATGTAGATGTTTCATATTTTACCTCAACACCTAGCTAATGGCAGACAAATTAATTTTCAGGTGTCATACACAATTTTTTTTATATAATTATATTAATTTGCTTATCATGTCATGCAAATGCAATTAACAAGTTTGATCCATAATTTACACAATGCATCAGAAATTTTCACATAACGTATATGCATCACGGGAAAAAAAAGATTTAACCCAAAGTTAATGTTTTGATAATTCTGTGCGTTATGGCAAAATAATCATTAGCCTAGTCCATTTATTAGTTATAAAATGTGATATGGAAGTGAATAAGATAACAAGATTAATATTTGAAACGAAACTATTTATACGTACGTGTAAGAAGGTGTGTTTTTGGGAAATGCAGCATTAATGTTATGTATACTTATTAAATTTTTAGTATAGTATGTATCCTTTACGGCAGCGGTGGGCAAAACGGTTTAGTTAAATCGAATCGACTATATTAAGCCGAATTCAGCCGAATCAAAATCGAACTATCTGTAATTTGATTGAGTTTGGTATAGTAGCATTTCTTTCAAAACCTTCATGCATGTATTTTTAAATAATATCAATACATCCAAACTAAATCAAACCACAACATAGTACGGTTTTTGTTTGATAATCAAATTCGTTTCAAATTGATCAAATTGGAAACCAATAAAAATTGAACTGAAATCGATATGTCCACCCTCACTTCATGGTAGGTTCGGCCCGTTTTCAAAAAAGAAATTGAGACATAGGGATAACCTCATGAATTTATTATAGTCATATAGGGATAACTTAATTGAGTTATTGGCTAGAGTTGAAGATAATAGGCTAATATAATTAGGAATCTACCTAATAGATATTTAGGAATCTGCCTAATATCTATTTAGGAATACTTTGTATTTTGGCAACTCTTCTATTATAAATATATGTGTCAGGACTCCTATTGGAGTACCTCTTTCTCATTATTTCACATGGTATCAAGAGCTCTAGGTTTGTAGATACAATTTTTTTTCTTTTTTCGGTTCCCATGAACCTTATTATAGCCGCCGCCGCCTTAGGGTCGACTGCCGCCACATTTACGGTAGTCTCCGATCCTTTGAAGATGAGCGCGGCTAATATGACACAGATCACCTCCTTCGCGTCGCTGAACACGGAGCTTGCTTCCAGCATGCCGTTGAGTTCGCCGCCTGCTGCTGCCTATGTTCGCGCAGCCCACCTTCTCTGCGTCGCTGACCACGGTGCTTGCTTCAAGCGCGCTGTTGAGTTCGCCGCTTGCTGCTGCAGACATATATTCTCATGGAGATCTTATTGTCAAAGACGTGCCTTCTAATCTTCCGCTCACAGATATATTTACTAAGAGTTTTTTTTTTTAGTTTGCAATTTCATTTTTTTAAAAGACAACCTGCGCGTTGTATCTCACGCACAGTTTGAGGGGGTGTAATAGGCTAATATAATTAGGAATCTACCTAATAGATATTTAGGAATCTGCCTAATATCTATTTAGGAATACTTTGTATTTTGGCAACTCTTCTATTATAAATATATGTGTCAGGACTCCTATTGGAGTACCTCTTTCTCATTATTTCACAGAAGATATACAATCGATATAGTACTTCTTAGAAGGTCACATCTAATTTATGTACACTTAGGTATATATGTACGAGTGTATAGTATGAGCATGACTGCATGAGTAAGTGAGTAACCCTTTTTGTTTATTTTAATTTCCTTAAAATCCCAATATAGAAAGGAATTGAAAAGACAATGACAAGATAAATGCTATGCTGCAAGGGCACATGATAAAATGTATTGTAGGTGAATAATTCTACAATATATTATAGTGAACATTAAAAAAGATAAACGCCATTGTCTGCTTCACATTTGGATACATTTTATACTCATTAGTCGCAACTCTGCCTCGTTAATGCATTGATTTCTCCCTCAGTTTATTTGAAAATATGGTATTCACTCATTCAATATTTTAATTCAGTTTTTTTCGATAATCCAGGATTGTCGATATATTCACCCAGTAAAAATTGTTTTAATTAAAGCCTTGTTTTTCTGAATAGTTATGAATTAAAAATTCAAACATTCCAATATAAACATAAATAAATTTGGAGTTTAATTTTTTTATTGTTCCATTAGACCTACTTTTGAAATATACAACCAAAAGATGTATAAAAAAATAACCATGAAATCTTAATTTCACCCAACCACTTGGATCTACTTAATAAAAACTATGGGCCTAGCTAAAACCTCCAACAATTGAAACCTCATATTTTCTAAACTTTATGTATGCAATATTAAGGTCATATATACAAGATCACAAAAAGTTGTGAATTTTGATATATTCTTTAGTAAAAATTGGAATAAGAATTAAAAAAATACATGCACCATAAATAAATTAAAGGAGGTTTCACCCCTGGGTCCCGGGTCCTTCGCCTTGGCGTCCGTCCTTTCTCCTAGGTGTTTGTCCTTTATCCCATGGGTGTCATACACTCATTTTGGCACCTTTGTGTCACGGTTTGCTCAAGTTAAGGGGCATTCTTCATTTCTGTTAACATTTTTTATGGTATGATTGCGTGGTGTACTGAACAACTCATGCAGGTTCATGGACAATACTCGTTAGCTTTCCTCTCTGATGCACGATTGACACCTTACCAAGCGACATAGCTGTAACCAAAAGTGCATCCGTAAAATAATGACTTATTTTAGGAGCTAGGTCTAGGGTGTACATTAGACATTTGTTTAATCAAGATCAGGTCGAGTTAAGCAACATGGACCGATACAAGGACCTAATTATCTCTTTAGTCTTAATTGTTAATGTTTGTGTAAAAGTTTATACGTAGTAAATATATATTTTGTTGTTGGTACACTTGTACTTGCTTCGGCAGAAGCAGGGGCGAAGCCAAGAAGGGGGTCTGGGTGATCAGCCTACCACCCCTCATCCCTCCTCCAAAAGTTTGAAAATATAGAGCACTGGAATACCTTCGATTTGATATGATATGACTCCTGTAACTCATTACGAGTAAAAAATTATTACTCATGTAAAATCAGCACTATCTAAACTTGAAATAAGAAAAATTTGATGCGTAGTATGAAGTTTTGATTATGTTCTCAAATTTTAAAAACAACGTCTAATTCATTCATTATATACGTATTGTCTATAATATATGTATATGCCATTTATATCAAATCTTTGTCTTATTTAAACTAACTCACGTATTGTTTAAAATGAATTTGCCCTTTTTATTCAGTATTTAGTTAAAATTTGACCAGTTGGATTTTTGGCTGCGTCACTGCCTAAAAGGGGAGTCTTGGCTCATACATATAGGGGTGGACAAAAATACCGAAAATCGGTATACCGCGCTTACCGTATTGAAAAATACCGGAATATTGGTATACCGTCATTTTCGGTATGGTATCATACCGTACCGATTTATTTCGGTACGGTAATGATAAATGTTTTCAAATACCGCGGTATACCGGTATAATACCGTACCGACTCCCTACCTACAATTACTTTTAGTTCTAAAATATTGTAAAAATTCATTACAATTTTGAAGCACACAATTAATACTTAGGTTGGTTACAAATACCAAAATACAAAAATTCATTACAATTTTGAAGCCCAAAATTAATACTTAGGTTGGTTACTAACCATAATGACTAATGAGTAATGTACTAATGTCCAGAAACAAATTCATCTTGTTCCAAGAGCTTGTGAGTCGTGATGATAGAGCTGCTGATGAGTGAAGAGGGATATACTTATACGACGAGTGTATCTACATAGGGATTCCGCGAGTCGAGACCCACAACTTTGTCCGAAAGTCATACTCCAATTTTTTTAAAAAACAATTATAAAAATGACTAAATACACAATATCATATTAGGAATAAATGGTTTTATATTCATTTTGTTAAAATAATTTTATTTATTATTGTTAGAGGTCGCTACTGATTTAATTATGTCTATATTGTTCAAATTATTTTAGGAGAATGTGTTCTTTTTAAGGGGTAATTTGAGTTTGCACTCCATATTATTGTTCAAATTGGACTTCGCACCTCGTTTTTAAAAAACTTTGTGTTTGCACCCCAACCCCATATGTAAAGACAAAAATGTTCCTCCATTAACAATTCTGATGCATGGCCTTCAACATATTCCTTATTGAGGGACATTTTTGTCTTTTCATACGGGGCTGGGGTGCAAAATTAAAGTTTTTTTAAAACGGGGTGCAGAGTACAATTTGAACGATAAAATGAGGTGCAAATTCAAATTACCTCTATTTTTAATACGTGGCATGTTGAACTGCTTAAATATACTAATAATGATTATTGTTCAATATTGAATTGACACCGATAAATTATTAATTGTATTTTGTAACATTTTAATAATAGATTAAATATGTCGCTAGTAGCAACGATATAGTATATTTCGTTAGTCTATGATAATTTCTTGTATTGACTATTGAGAGACATGGATGCTAATTTACTGATATCGTACCGTTACCGAACCGGAACTTCGGTATACCGAAGTCCGGTATACTGAAACTTCGGTAAGTTAACGGTATATAAATTTTGTATACCGAAAGTTTTGATACGACAAAGGTATGAAAGAAAATATTCGGTATACCGTACAGAACCACCCCTACTCATACATGTTATGGTGTTTGATGTTTGATCCTTCCGGCAGGACCCTTTCTCACATGATATGGTTGAATTGGACCGGGTGCAGCCGTGCAGGTATAAAATGCCACAACCGAAAGAATTGAATATAATGTGATAGTGAGGTGAGTATAGATAATCAATCATTTCCCCTCCATCAAATCATGTCGATCATGCACATTCCATTCCATCTATATATGTTGAATCGTTGATGTCTATAAACTCAAATAAAGAGCGGAGAAATCATAAATACATAGATATAGAGAGAGAGTGTGTGTGTATTATAAAGTCAATAGAGGAATAGAAGGGGAGAAAATCAATGAGGTCATCATCAGACAGAAGTAAAGCTGGAGGTAATACCCAAAAGACAGAGGGTGAGGAGCAAAATGGAGAAAAGTTGGAGGGGTTTTGTGTTTGGTTGATGAAGGGAATGATGAAGAAATGTGAATGTGAGAAGAGAAAGATGGTTCACAGCATGAAGGTGGGGGTGGCCTTGGTGCTGGTCTCCCTTCTGTATGTGCTGGACCCTCTCTTCCATCAAGTGGGACAAAATGTCATGTGGGCTATCATGACTGTTGTTGTCGTTTTCGAGTTCTACGCAGGTAGGTTTTATTCTCCCAATTAAGCTACGTACGTACGTACTTCTTTGCATGTAATTAACACGGAGTAATAAGCAATGCACTTAATATCATATCAGGTGCTACAATTAGCAAGGGGATAAACCGAGGGATTGGTACCACACTTGGGGGATTATTAGGATGCTTGGCGGCGCTCTTAGCTGATACACTTGGAGGCTTGCAAAGTACTTTTGTGGTTGCTATTTCCATTTTTACCGTAGGTGAGCACTATGATTACAAATAGTAGTGTATACGTAGTATAATACGTAGTACGAAGTACTCCATACCACTACAAAATAATCACGGGATTGGTACATTTGGCACGGATTGACCGTTGATTCCAATTCGTGCCAAATAGATCGTGCCAAAATGTTTTGGCACGAACTTTGCATATCCCTACCAAAATCTCTCCCAATTTTGGAGAATCCCTGCCAAATTTCCCTACCAATCCGGTGTTTTTTTGTAGTGACTATCCACATGTACGCATGTGTACCAACTATATACTCCCCGTCCCATAAAACTTGGTCCATATGACTTTTCTTGGTTAATGACAAATAAACTTTAAAGAATGAAAATTGATTTTAATTTAGTTATTATATTTGTGTGAAACTTATAACTTTCATACATTTATGAAAGTATTTGGATAAATTAGAATCCTTTCTCATTGTTTACATTTGATAGTATATGTAGTTACATCACAAAATAAACATTTGCTATAGAAACAATAAATTATTTGTTTCAAAAAAGATGACTTTTTCAGCAAGAAAAATGATTTGTTTGGCAAAAAGTTGACTTTCTAAAAACATTTTTATGACCTTAATTTTAAAAACAAAACATATTTACTATTTACGTAAAGTAGTTGAGCATTTAGACTCCTTTTTTTCACTGTATTGAAATCAATGTTTTTTTATACTCCCTATTAGACAAGTTACATGTCTTATCAACGTAAGTTTCATTTATTTTCGCACGAGTTACATCATTCTGCTACTAAGAAAAAAAAGTTAATGTTCACACATGTTTTAAATGTGAGAGCATTGTGCTGAGTTGCTCATCATGGACTGCTCCCACAATATAACAACTAATATTAAAAGAGTAATTGCATTTGATTTGATTAATGGAGGCATGTGCATGCGAGCTAAAATGCTAAGGTTTAGAGGATATACTTATAATTGCAACGTAAATAAACAGGTGTAGGTGCAACATACATAAGAATGCTACCAAAAGTCAAGAGAAAGTTTGACTATGGAGTGTTGATATTCATCTTGACATTCAACTTGGTGGTGGTGTCGGGAGTGCGAGCGGATAAAGTGATGATATTAGCCCGAGAGCGGCTGTCCAACATCGGAATGGGCTTCGCCGTCTGCGTCTTCATAAGCCTGTTCGTCTTCCCCCAATGGGCTAGCGACCAACTTCATTCCTCCACTGCTTCTATGTTCCATCAAATTGCTTCTTCTCTTGAAGGTAATTAAGAGGAGTGATTGATACTCAATTTTGTAATTCAAAATAGGGAATAGTATAAAAAAGACACATGTGGTTGAGTCTGTTTTCAAATAGTCATTGTTTTCATTTTTTATCGAAGTAGTTCATGTGTTTGAACTCTGTTATCACAAGAGGGCCCTGGCGCCTGACGCCATTAGAAATCGCTGGAGGATGATGATGAACAGTAACTTCGGTTTTCAAAAGTCCTCGGAAAATTAAAAAAAAAAAAATCGGAAAGTGCGTCTCAACAAGACGACTGCTAGGTCATCCTTCTTTTTTTGTTTCTAGCCACCCTTGTCACCGGAAAGTCACCGAAAAAGTGATATTAGCGAATTCATTTTAAAAAAGTATTTCAAACAAATCCGAAAAATCCAAAGAGGGAGTGGTTTGGACTTTGGAGGTCATCTTGACGAGGCGCACCTTCCGGTATTTTTCTTTTAATTTTCTGTTTTGAAAATCGGAGTTACTGTTCATCGTCATCCTCAAGCATTTTTAACGGTGTGACCCTCTTGCGATAATGGAGTTCAAACACATGAATCACTTTGATAAAAATGAAACGCATGACCCTATCTGAAAACAGACCCAACTACATGTACCATTTTCGTACTTTTCCCTTCAAAATATGCTCTTTTGATATTTCTTTTTCAATTCTTAGAATTTTTTTAATTAGAATCGTGTGTAAATAAACGAAAAAAAATCAAAGTATGTATTATGATAGTATATAGTTTAGTAGTTCAAGTGTGACATTCTAAAACTATACTACCTCAATCCCGGCCTAAACTTGTCACAGAAAGATGTCACAGTTATTTAGACAATAATAATTAAATAATATTATTTGAGTATATTTTGAGAAGTAGTTTTGATGGATATATAATACAATAAGGTCATGAATGATTAATGTGATGTTAAAAGTATGACGTTTTTAATATTTGATGATTAAGTTGCCGTGTAAGGTGCTAATTATTTTTTAAAATAGAGATGAGAATTTTTTGTTGGACGTCCAAAAGAGTAAGTGGGAAATTTAAGTTGGAATGGATGGAATATATAGTTCAACAGTTCACTTTTGCAAGAATGTCATATATTACGTATATTCAAAAAGTATCTTCCATTAATCTAGAAAAAATGACATGTATATTAGTAATAGCATTTTCTCATACAAAAATATGACTAGTTATGCTTTTATATATGAATATGAGACTAGTCACTGAGTACGAGTAGCTAGACAAAAGTCATTATAATATATTATCGTATTTCTGAGTAACAAATCACTAATAGATGATGAGTCACTAGGAACTAGTCACTGAATATGTCACTTTTTAGAAAATTTTCAAGTAAATCATATTTGTGTTTTTTGAATTTAATTTAGTAATATTAATGGGAAAAGGCCATTAATCTACTTAGAGTATCCAATTTCCAATTTACTTTTCCTCCATTATATTAGTCTTCTCATTTTCGCATTTTGATTAAGTCTACATTCTTGCTTGGATAAATTATTCGATTTAGTGTTGTTTTTAGTATAATATATAGTTTAAAAGGGAATTACTCACTTACAAATTGCAATTAAATGTTAATTAGGGTGCTTGGAGGAGTACTTCGCAATTTTAGGGGAGAAGAAAAGCAGCCCAAGTCCAGATGTCAATCGTTGCAAATGTGTCTTGTATTCCAAGTCCAACAACGAAACTTTGGTACATATATAAAATTAATAAAATTTTATAAATTTTACTCCATATAATTATAATTAATCAAATTTTAAATTTCCTTTGTAAATTTAAAAGATTTGAGCTTCCAAATTGGATTTTTAATTAGAAAATTCATTGATTAAATTCAACAAATTCAGGCAAATTTTGCAAAATGGGAACCATGGCACGGGAAATTTGGGTTCTCTTATCCATGGGGCAAGTATTTGGAAATTGGAGAGGCACTCAGAGAACTCGCTGCAATAGTAGTTTCACTAAATGACTGCATTCACTCGACTGCACAGGTAAGCAAAGGTGGAATGATTCTTAGGAAAACATAGTTAAAAAAGGAGAAAATTCTCTAAATAGGTGTAAACTAATCTCAAATAGGAGTGTCAATCATTTAATTTCTTTTAAAAAATGGCTCATTCATGCCTATAATTTTGAGAAGTATTTATTCTTTTAATAGGATTGTATAAGTCATATTTTTGAAAGAAAACAAATTTAACCCCGTGTTTTACTTCTATGTTGAACAATTTCTTATAAAAACTGATCCATGAGAGGATGACATAATTTGGTTGTTTATGTATTTTATTATCCGTACTGTGGCAAAAAGATATACGAATTGAAGTATAGAATAGCCCACTAATACTACATTGCCGGATTGAGAAAATTGGATACTTCCTACCCATATTTTTGTTTGTGATCTAACTTTAGAGGTAAAAACAGTGTTACTACGAAATGTTTTGAAAATTGCTACAAAAATTGAACATTTCTTTGCTCTGTTTGAAACACTTTTTGTGTGAGCCAGACATTTACTATAGGTAAAATGAGATTTTCCCGATCGATATGTTTGACCGGAGCCTATCTTTAGAGACAAAAACTGTCAGTTTAAAGGATTTTAAAAACGTGTAAAAAAATGTGTGCATTTTATTGACATTTCTAAAGTTACAACCTTAAACATGTTAATGTTATAAAAAATAAACAATGTTCACTTAAAAAATTGAACATGAGCAATAACCAAAGGATTAAAAGTGCGACTGCCCTTTAACGTATGGTGTGTGTGTTTTATCAGCCATTGGCAATTCAACGAGAAATGATCAAAGAGCCAACAAAAATAGTGGGCGTATCGCTGCTGTGTATTCTGAGGGAGCTAGGGGAGAGCATAAAGGAAATGAAACTCTACCGAGCTAAGGGTATGATGAGACCCAAGTTGCAGTCCATGAAACAAGACAACCTTATGATGAGCTCTCCTCCAGACCTGGGCATGTCTAGCTTTGTGTTCCTCCTGAATGAGGTGATAGAGAAGGTTGAGGTATTAGTAACTAAGGTGGAGCAGCTAGGTGACATTGCTGGATTTCACATCAACAAGTTGGAGGTCTAATTTAGTAATGACTACTAATCATAAATGTTAAGTAATAAGTATACTAAAGCAAATTTAGAAAGCATACGTTGTATCTCATATTCCAATATATAGTTTCATTTCATCTTGTATTCCAATTGTTGAATTTGGAATAAGAGATCTCACCTACAAATTTATATATAGAGTATACTTTCTATTATTAAAGAAAGTATAAAGGCAACTTAATAGAATCATATTCCTCCTTTCATCTCAAAATAAACTCCATTCTTTCTTTTTTCATTCATCACAATATACTTATTTTTATTTTTATGACTAAGAATATATGGTTCACATTATTTCTACCAACTGCACACGATTTCCATTATTTTTAATCTCTATGCAAAGTCAAAAGATTTTTTTATGAAATGGATATAAAACCATCTAAAATTGCATTCTAAACTGTTGATTTCATAAAATTGATAGCCCAATATCTTATATAAGTATACCCAACATGTATCATTCGAACCCTGAGTCCAAAAATAGACTTACTCGGTCATGCAATTCCGGTTGAGAAGGTTCATGTTCTATTTATGTAGCAGAGGCAGAAGTCTAGAACAGTCAGTTCCGATTTCAGTTTGGAGGGAATTGGAACTAATTTGGGTCGGTGCCATGTGCTGGTTCCAGTGCAAAACTGAAAAAAAAAAATGGGAGCCCGGCTGCCCAGTACTATACTATTTGCGTTTTATTTATTAATGCATTATAAATTAAATTTTTGAAAAATATTATTAATTGTGTTGACAAACTTGAAAATTGAACTGTTGCAACTTGCTACCAATATTTGTTTGCAATGATCAAATTTGTTTGTTTGCATGTCTTTTTATTAATATAGAATGACTTAACAAATTACTACGTATATCAGTATATGTTAAAACCTGGAAATAAAGATTACTGTATGGATAAAAGTTCTTCACAAAAAAGAATTGAAAACTAATGGGAATATAAAAACAATACTGGGTACGAATGGGTGAACTCATAACGAACCAAACATAGATGTCTTTTTTGCAGTTGCAAGTATTTGTTGTTTCGTTTTGCACAAACAAAATCATATATTACCATGCTAATAACTAATATGATAGAGCTAACCTTAACTAAAAGCCGGAATTAAAGACATAAAAATCTAAAAAGAATCTGGGAGAGGTCATATGACTAATACTTTTAATTGAATTGTGTAATCTCTGTAATTATAAGGAAAGTGAAACTTCTATTTATATGCATGCTAGATGTAATCTCTCAGGATTAGGTGGTTATTATGAACCAAACATATATTATGCTAATAGAGGTGATAATGTAACCGAAAATAAAAATTTCACTTATTTACAACAGAAACATAATATTTGTGAATAAATAAGTGAATAAATAAATAAATGGGAACTAGAGATTCTTCTAATAACTGCTGGCTAATATTCAATCTGCTCCCTATATCTTAGCTACGCCTACAAAATCTATGTAAGATGACTAGGGAAAAACCTGGGAACAGTGGCAGTGGATGCTATAAGTGTGGATTTACAGAGTGGGATTGACTGAAGAAGAAATCTGCACCAAAATCCTCCCAGTCTGCAGGAAGCTAAAGGAGAAGCCTATATGCTAAAGAACCTCACTGCATTATGCACGTAAAAACTCGAAGCCTTGATGTTCAACGAGTTTTGTAGCAGGTTTTACACCGGTGAAATTGATATCTCTAAGCGAATTACAAAACTCCTCAACAGAGAAAGGATTACTGCATGTACAAAGGATAAAGGTAAATTCTTGAAACGTGATTTCCATTCTTTTAGGAACTTCTATTGAAATTGTACCTCGAATTGTCGTCCAAAACGAAGGAGTTATTCTCGGAATCATCCGAATCCTCTTCTGATACAAGAACCTTAATGCTGGTAATTACCTAAAAGGGGAGGATTACCCATTCCACAACAATGAGCAAATGTAATAAAATAAAATAAAAAAGAGTACCAAAATATTAACTCTAGACAAAACTAGAATCGCTTTCAATATTCAGTGATCTAGTCAAAATATTACGGAGTACTATTGAATGGTAATTAAGAAATTACCCTTAGTACGAGTAGAATCAATGTGAAATTCTAAAATAAAAATGTTTTTCATAATTAGAAATAACTGTGATGCTTGAAAAATACAGCACATGTAGGGCAGTGTCATAATAAAGTGACTATCTAGTCTTGCTTTTGCAATATTTTAAAGGTAATCACATTTTTGTCCATGGGTATTTGTTTAGTAAATATTAAACAAAAAATCCCATAAGAAAAATGGATATACACAAAGATGATCTGAGGGTAATAGAAGGGGAAAATCTCATAAGAAAAACTCACAAACTCACCTCTGCAGATACACTTTCAGTGTTGTTGCTGTCATCCCAAGATAGCATACATAATCTGTAGAGCTGTTGACTACTCAGAATCTGGAATCATGAGATATCAATGAAAAAGCATTATCATGATTCAATTGCCATGTTCAGCTAATATATTAATACGGAGTAATAAATTAAGAAGTTAAGAACATGCAGTAGATATGTAGGCATGTCTTGAGACATGTTTTGGTCTAAAAAAGTTGGAGGGGAGAAATTTTCCTGTGTAGGCGGTGTAGCCATTTGTACTTATATCTTTTTTTTTTTTAATTCTCTATGTTCTAAGTGGAAAAAATGTTTACCAACAAATATTTTAAAGTCATTTTCCAAATCTACTATGATATGCCATTGTGCCCTATATTTGTCTCTTATCCTTTGATGTACTCTATAGTCTCATAGCTTCCACTCAGGATGGAAACATTTAGCTGGCATATTGGGCACCAACACATATTCACAATAAGGAAAAGAAAATGACAAAAAGGTAATCAAAAGCAAATGAAAACAATATATTGAAAAGCTTACAGGGCACAAGTCGGTTATAAGATCAGCATAGGTAATTCTTCCCTTATGATGCAGAACCTGCAAATAAGTATTGTTCTCTTAGTTCGAATGTATAATTGTCTTTCACTTTCAGTGCGGTTTTTAAAATCAGATAGTGTGGTATGTTTTACCAAATTATCCTTTGAATATAAGACAGTCAAATCATTTTAAAATGTGAAAATCTAGCAAGTGCAAATTCGAAAAAGTGAAAGAGTCGGTAGTACTTAAATTAGGAAGGTGCACATTATTCATTTTTTTGGGAGAGTAAAAATGAAGGGAAGAGCATAAGAAATAGGACAGGTGGAGTGATTCGATTCTTGGTTTGAGATAATCACAATCGATAGTAAAATATAACCATTATAAGTATTAATAAGAATTATGCACTAGAACAACAATAAAATATGAAACTCAAATTCATTGATTCACAGATAAAAAACTATTGCAATTCAAAAAAAGAACCAAAAAAATTGCGGAGAAAAAAATACCAAGAATCCAACAACCTCCCTTGTGTGCCTCAGTTCATCCCAAGAGGAGCCCACATACTGCAACAGAGAATTCTCAGTATTACTAGAAAATCAAATGGTTAATAAATCATTAAATCTATAGAGTAAACGTATTGAAGTACAGTTTTAAGATATGACTAGGGAACTTAATACCATTCAACTAGTACATTGGAATAGTACCTCTTCTTTTGCATGTCCACACCAAAGTTCTAATTCATCTAAGCCAGATTTTATGTATTCACCGTTATTAAAAGTACAGCATTCTTTTTGAAGGAGGATACTGCAGTGGTACATTAACAATGCTAAGTTAGTTGTAGTAATTGTAACATATGCTCAAAAATAAAATATTTGGTGTATGATGATGGGAAAAGATACCTGTTAAATAACTGTACATTAATATAAGAGAAAATCTGGATGACCATATTCTGCACAAGAAATTGAGGTACCTGAAACAAAGCTTGCATTATTATATGATTGTTTATATGTCATCAGACATCACTACATCAGTAGATCATACGATAGTATATAGCTAAAGAAAAAATGTTTTCATACATAATTTTCATTTAATGTATTGAGATGTCCACTAAGATTCTCAGTGATGATTCGCCAAGGTTTTCCTCGAGTGGTTCCACTTGATTCTGTGGGAACCTAAACAATGCAAGTGGAAAGAAATTAGACAGTTCAAAATTACAATACAACGATAGGGGCAAAGCAAAGAGTTTCAAAGTTGCAGAATAAAAACTGTTGCACAAAAGGTATGCGAAGTTAAAAGAATATGAATCTATAGCCGCACTACACATCGGAACTACAATTCTCGTAGAATTTTGAGATTTGATAGAGAACTACTTAAACAGAACGGGATGGAGTGACCCAACTTTGTTCTGCATATTCTTTTAGAAGAAAATGTGATTTTTATTGTATAGACAAGTATATCTAACAAAACGGATGGTTCCTGATTTTAGTATTTTACTCTATGGTTGACTGTCCTAATCAATGGAAACTCCAGTGGTTTTTATATGAAGGTAAATCCTTCTTCAGTTGATATAGCTAGTTGTATAAAAGGGGACTAAATAATGCACTCTTAATGCAGAGAGAATTTTTCTGTCCACTTTTTCCATGGGGGATAATTTTAAATCAAGTGTAGAACCAAAGAAAGAAAAGGAAGCAGAAGAAGAAAAAATATAAAGAAAAGGTTCAGTTGCATTTGATTTTAATGTTTAAGTAAGAGTGGTTCACTTCACTAAAGATGAGCAACAAATGGTAGTTATCACCCTCTGCATGCAAATTTAACATAAAAATAAAATCTAAGCAGTGAACGCCTGAATCGTTACCTGGATACATGAAGAAAGCACCAATGACAGTTCCCTTTTCAAGTTATCTCTAATGATTCCATAAATCTTCTCAATGTAGGCAGTGAGCTGTTGCTTGAAAAGTAAAGCAGGATACTTTGCTTCAATTTGACGGATTCCATCAAGCCCACCAATTGAGAGGTTGGATGAAGAAAAAGATGACCTGCTGAACATCCTTCCAAAAAAATTTGTCGGTTGGGGGGGTTTGCTAGGAGTTGAAACTGTATTAGCTCGTAGTGTATGTTGAAGAAGAAATAGTAAAATGGATGTGTTTGACAGCCAATAAGCCATGTGCATGTTGTTTGCCTCATCCTGTAAGTGAAAAAGCATGTTAAATAGCAGAGTTCAAGTTGGAAACATGCATGATTTTACTTCAGCAGGAAATGTGATGTGCCCGGGATTTTGGTTGTGAACAAGATTAAGAATTTGTGAGATAAGTACAACAAATTAAATCAAAGACTAGTGTAACAAATTAATTATTAGAGCCCGTTTGATAACCATTATAAATCACACGCAAAACTCGAATTTTACAGACAAAAAATGTCTGGCAAAGACAAAAAGTTTCAGGCAAGTCTAAAAAATTGTATGACTTTTGTACACATTTTCAAAACCACCGATCTTTTTCTGTAAAGTTAGATCACGGGCAAAAATGTTGATTAAAGAGTTTTTTATTTTGCAAACCCTAATATCTGATACAAAAAACCATTTTCTATATTTCATAGTGACTTTTCTTATTGAAATATAGTCTCTTAGTCATAGACATCAAAAAAAAAATCAGTCAGAAAATCTAACGTTACAAACAATAAATGTCAAATACAGATAAAAATGTTTTAGACAATACCAATAGTAGCACTAGTGTAATTTTTACACATTTTAAAAAAATGGCACATAAAAGTTTTCAGTAAAATTATCTCACAGATAAAATAATGATCGAAAAAATCCACTTTTATTGACAAGACCACATTTACTTAAATCCGAATGTATGGGATGCCATTTATAAATTGAATGCCAAAGGGGACTACATTCGATATGGACAATAATTAAGGAATTAATTATTGTGAAACGTGGAACTGAAGTTCGTGGAACTATTCATCGGCGACCTGATTTGGAACTGAAGTTCGTGGAACTATTCATCGGCGACCTGATTTGGAACTGTGCTGACTATGGAGACTGAAACTTGATTTTACCAGGTCATCTTCGTACCAGGCTCTGCTTTCTGGCTTCGGTTTTTCACCCTGTAGGATGAACAAAAAGAAGGCAGGGAAGGGGGAGGCTACGCCCAGGCTTACCAGGTCCAAAGCAGCAGGCTTTGAGGTATTGAATAACCTTGAGGAAGAGTTCCCTGAGCTTGCTAAATCTGCCTCGAAATCAGCAGGTCTGAGCTCCGGTTTTGGTGTTTCAGCCTGCGAAAACACTGATACCACTGCTATAGTGGTACCTGCGAACACACTGGTGCCATCTCCTGGGACTAAACAGATTAATGCTATGACATTTAAGGCTACTGGACCTTTAAAGAATGTTTTAAAGTCTACTGAAGCTGTTGCAGAGACATCAACTGCTGGGGGTCCTGCATCCGGGAATGTGGTTTCAACACTGGCAGTAACTAAATGGAACTCTCTGTTCAAGGATAACCGGGATCCAAAAAATGGGATTAAGCTGAGATATGTTCCACCTAAAGGCGAGATACTGGACTTTGGTGACCGCATACTACCCTCAATGGTTGAAATGTGGGGTTATTGTCTAGTGGGACATTTCACCGGCAATTTCCCTGGACTCAAAGCGGTTCATGACTTAAAAGCTACATGGGGAGTCAAAAGCCTAGTAAGATCTCATAACAAGGGTTGGATAATTTTTAAATTCCAAAATGAAGAGGATAGATCCAAAGTACTACATGAAGGACCCTACACCGTCTTCGGTAAGCTATTAATGCTCAAAGAACTATCGGAGGACTTCACTTTTGAGGATGAGGAATTTCTAAAAATTCCAATTTGGGTCAAGTTCCCTAAACTACCGATGAGTTTATGGAATGATGAGGCTATGAGTGAGGTGGCATCAATGGTCGGGGCCCCATTAACCACGGATAAAATCACTCAAGAAAGGGCAAACAATGACTATGCTAGAGTTCTTATTGAGGTTGATGTTTCAAAGCCACCACCGCTTCACTTCCCTATTCGACTACCTTCCCGTAAGGTAATCAAACAATTTGTGGTTTATGAAACTTTCCCTAACTTTTGCTTTCATTGCAAATGTGGGGTTATTGTCTAGTGGGACATTTCACCGGCAATTTCCCTGGACTCAAAGCGGTTCATGACTTAAAAGCTACATGGGGAGTCAAAAGCCTAGTAAGATCTCATAACAAGGGTTGGATAATTTTTAAATTCCAAAATGAAGAGGATAGATCCAAAGTACTACATGAAGGACCCTACACCGTCTTCGGTAAGCTATTAATGCTCAAAGAACTATCGGAGGACTTCACTTTTGAGGATGAGGAATTTCTAAAAATTCCAATTTGGGTCAAGTTCCCTAAACTACCGATGAGTTTATGGAATGATGAGGCTATGAGTGAGGTGGCATCAATGGTCGGGGCCCCATTAACCACGGATAAAATCACTCAAGAAAGGGCAAACAATGACTATGCTAGAGTTCTTATTGAGGTTGATGTTTCAAAGCCACCACCGCTTCACTTCCCTATTCGACTACCTTCCCGTAAGGTAATCAAACAATTTGTGGTTTATGAAACTTTCCCTAACTTTTGCTTTCATTGCAAAGAATATGGGCATCACCCATTTATTTGTAAGAAACTAGCAAAACGGGAGGATAAGGAAACTGATTTAGAACGGAGAAGGTAAAAAGATGAAAATTTAGAGAAGGGGTCAACTAGGCCACAACCTGCCGCCCAGGGGTCTGACTCGACCGGGGCTGCCCCTGGCCCGACCGAAATTCAGCTGCAGGCTCCTCACCCGCCTGGGTGTGTGAAGGACCCGATCGGGTCCTTAGCGCAGAAAACTGTCCAGGATGCATCTGCCGTGATTAAACTGGCTGAACAGAGACCTTCTTTGGATGATGGCGAGAGGATAGTCATGGATAAAAAGGATGTGAAGCTAGATGATGTTGTTATAAAATGTGAGGTGATAAACGGCAAGACACTCAAGTTGGTTGTCAAACCGTTTAAATCCGTGCATGCTAATGTGATTCGAGTGGACAATTTCCTTCGACTTACGGATGATTTGGATAGAAAGGGTCTCACTTTTACCAATGAATGTCTTGAGGGCTTGCCGGGTGTTACAAAGAAGAAAGGGGAGGTTCGCTTTGATCCAAAGTTCACTAAACCTTTCCGATTTTTCCTTGGTTGTTAAATTAGGGAAACCTAATATCTTTAATTAGTGATTTGTGAAGTGGGGACTGTCCCATTATTTTGATGCATTATATCTAGGTTAGATTATTCTAGCTTAGATAGTCATTTTGATTTGGATTCGATGCATTGTAAAATGCTATTTTTCGGTTTTAATATACTTACATATTATCGAAAAAAAAATAATTAAGGAATTAAAAGCGCGACTTCTCTTTTAAAATATATTTTATGTCAAATTTCTATCCAAGTCAATTGCTTCCTAACAATATTTTCCCCAAGTAATGGTGAAGTGATTCCTGAATTCATATTCCAAAAAAGCTTTGAGATGAAAAAACTCAATTCATTTGAATTAAACTATAGAAATATTTGATAAAAATCGGTAAAAAAATTCTAGAATTTAAAGTTGTTTATATGAATGTATATTACCTTTGTTTTTAAATAAGTGCAATATGTTGAACTTTACACTATTCACATGTTCTATTTTCATTATATTTTATTTATTTTAAAAGATAGTGTTAGATTTGTCCCATTGTAAATTTTCAAAATCTAATTTTCAATTTCAAAAAATATTAAAGGTCAAAGTTGTGCATTTGCAATGGTGAAAAGTGTATTGTTGCACTTCTTTAAGATCAGATGTAATATACGAAGTATATTAATGAAAAGTCATAAAAATAGAAAAAGAATTTTAGATCATTTTCTCAAATTTATTAAATTTAGATAAGAGAAGTAAAGTAAAAAATAAGGGGAAATAAATTTGTACATTCTATTCTAGTGGAGGACAAAAAAAGTAAAAAGAATGAAAATAAAATGCACAAAGGTAAAAGAAAGGAAGAGAGAAAGTTGCTGGGAGGTAGGAAACTACGTAATATGTAGTATTTCGTATATACTTCTTATGAAGTACTGTATACGACACCAAAGAGCAAAAAATGGAAAAAAAGTAAATAAGAAATGGGAAAAATATGTCACATGACTCACATCAACCAATGACTTGGTATGGGTAGTTGTCATCCGGTCACTTGACCAAATTGATGGTTTTTTAGTAGCAAGTGTATCTATTTGATACATTTTTTATTAGAGGGGTTGAAGTGATTTATTTGATATAGTAGGAGGGTGTATTTGACCCTTTTCCCTCAAAATTATTTTCTTCTACCAAAATAAAAAATGTACAAGAACTATTATTAATTTCCATTTTGGAAGTCATTTCGTGCAGAGTTAGGACTTAGGTGCTGTTCTGTTCGTCTTAATCTTATTACTTATTCTTATTTTATTCAGATCAGATCAGATCAGAAAAATTCAGATCAGATCAGATCAGAAAGATTCAGATCAGATCAGAATCATTCAGATCAGATCAGAAAGATTCAGATCAGATCAGAAACATTCAGATCAGATCAGGAATATTCAGATCAGATCAGGAACATTCAGATCAGATCAGGAACATTCAGATCAGATCAGAAAAGTTCAGACATGATTTATCCTTTTATTATAATAATAATTATTATAATAATATTTATAATAATTATAATTATTATTATTATTCTTGTTGTTGTTATTGTAATTAGTATAGTTAATATTATTATTGATATTATTATTATTATTAATTATTAGTATTATTATTATTGTTGTTGTTGTTGTTGTTATTGTTGTTATTATTATTATTATTATTATTATTATTATTATTATTATTATTATTATTATTAATTATTATTATTATTATTATTATTATTATTACTACTACTACTACTATGATTATTATTATTATGATATTTATTATTATCATGATTATTATTATTCTTACTACTAATATGGTTGTTGTTGTTATTGTTATTAGTTTTGTTTTCGTTATTATCATATTATACGGAGTAATTACAATTAAAATTATAGAAATAAATATTATAATTATACTTAAAATTATAATTATAGAATTAAATATAACTATAAATATAATTACAATTATAATTATACCTATATTTATAACTAGTGTAATACGTATAATAATAATTATACCTATTATAATTATGTTTGTAATTATAATTATAATTTTTATAATTATGATTATAATTATAATAATTATTATATTAAATTATATATGTGTAATTACATTTATAATTATAGTAATTATAATTGTAATTATAATTTTAGAAATATTTAAATCAGATCAGATCAGAAAAATTCAGATCAGATCAGAAGGATTCAGATCAGATCAGGAACATTCAGATCAGATCAGGAACATTCAGATCAGATTAGGAACATTCAGATCAGATCAGGAACATTCAGATCAGATCAGAAAGATTCAGATCAGATCAGAAAGATTCAGATCAGATCAGATCAGATCAGAAAAATTCAGATCAGATCAGATCAGAACTTAAAAAATTCAGATCAGAAACATTCAGATCAGGTGAAGAGAACAGCTTCTTAGAGCCCGTTTGGAGACCCCTTTTTTCGGCTTATCAGGCTTATCAGCCAGCTTTTTCACCAAACACGTAATTTTACTTTCGCGTGCTGAATTGTGTAATAAGCAGAAAAAGTAAGGTTGGAGTTACTTTTCTGGCTGTATTGGCTGAAGTTACTGTAGATGACCATTTTAGCTATTTTTACATGTAATTTTTTCTTTATTTTATTAATAAAATATATTTTTAAAATATTTTTTTCTAGAATCAGCAGAATCAGCCAAAACAGCCACTTCAGCCAGAACTTCATAAATTTCAGCAGAAACAGCCAAAACAGCCGATTTTCGTGCTACCAAACGGGCTCTTAGTCATATATAAAATAAAAAGATACTCCGTAAATAAACACATGCATAAATTTTAATGAACAAAAGCATCGAAGCCACAAGAACCATTAATATGTTAACAAAGTAAAATTAATAATTTATTGTAGATATGAACAGATTACCTCTATAGCAGAACCAATAATCTGAATAAGTCGATCAAATACATTAGTTCTTTCTGCTTCAAATGATTTCCAATGAAGAAGGCATTTGTATATGGTAAATGCTGCAACTGGTTTTCCTTCACTGAAACCGAGATTTTCCTTGATGCATGTGAGAAGAACATCAACACTCTCCTAAAGTTTTGCATGTGAGAATATGAGAACATCAAATTTGCATTAAATTCATTTTCTGAACTATATGAAAGGCAAAGCCCATTTTCTTTCCTATTTCGTTGAAGATTTGTTTTTGTGTAATAACATGCTAAGCCTATCGAAGAAAACAGATGTTAAACATTTCATGTGTTGACAACAATAGCACAGGAATACATACGTGTATGCCGAAAAATATAGTGTGCACACACAACATGAAAGGACCTCTAGCCTATTCAATCCAGACAAATGATTTGATGGAAATCACGCATCTAACCCTTGGCCCTTTTACGTTTGGAGGAGTTTAGGAGGAGGGGGAGCAAGAGGGGGAGTGATGTGTTAGGTTGGAACTTTAAAGAGTGAGGAAGGGGGAGGGGGAAGGAATGTGGGGCAGAATGATTTTTTTCTTGATTTTTTGGACTTTTTATGAAAAACTTTTTTACACTACTATTTTTGTACATATACATAAATATATCCTTAATTACAAAAAACTCAGCTATATTAGTTTAAATATTTTTTCTAAAATACTAATTTTCTGCATTCCTCCATTGAACCGTACATAGTATTTCTTTTGACTCTTCAGTTCTCCTCCCCTCCCCTCTACCCATTTTTCTATCATCCCCTCCATTCAACCAAAACAAGGGGTTAAGCTTAAGCTACAAGAAATGCCTCCATAAGCTGGAGTGTGCATACTAAAAGAACTAAAAATTCTAAAAAAACTATTCAATCATCGACCACCCCTCCCCAGTCCCCCCACAGGGATTAAAAGAAATGTCCCTACCAATTTATCATACATCATTCATATAGTATTTGATTGAGAGCTTACTCTTTGCCTCTCAATTTGGGATCTTCTCAACGATAAGGTGCCAAATGGCTTTAGTGCTTTTAATGCTTGTGGATCCTGTACAAAGTACAAACCACGCTCACACATTAAGCAGCTGTTGGAAACTGGGAATTTGGGATAATGCAACTATTATGCAAACCATGGAACAAAGCAAAGGAGGGAAGTTACATGCCTTTTACTTACCTGATGGCCATTCTCAGAAGGCTGCAATAGAAATAAAATATCAGTGAGAAAAATCACCAAGAAAAATCCATAAAGTAGAATGTTTTTGTTTGTGGTGCCATGACCTGATTGCCTATAGTGAACCGTCCTGACATTCTTTTAGACTGTGAATTCAATACTTTTTGTTGTCGAAGGATATGATCCTCAGTTTCTATATCAGATAATTTCTCCTTAAGCCTGAAATGAGAAGTAAACATATGATGAAGCAAAGATAAAAGTAGTATGATGTTCAGGCTCTACCAATTCTCAAATGATAAACACACAATACAAACAACAAACAAACAAGATGGTGAACAAATTTATTTTAATAAAATTAAAGAAAAGTTGGGCATTATTGAAATGAGGCTGATATGTATCACTTGGTGTGTAATGGCAGAAGTTCGTTGCTCTAACCTTTGCATGTCAGTCTTTAACTCAATGATTTTGGACTCCGCATCCATCACTTGCTTCAACCGCTCCTCACCAAGTTTGGTTGTTTCCTCGTATTTTTTCTCTGTTTCATTGATTTTCTTCTCCAAAGAGCTAACTAAGGCCTTCAAGAGAATCATCACATCAAATCCAGCATCTTATTAGTGAAGTCAAAGGTCTACACAGGCATTTTTTCGATCATGCAAGTAGCCATAGGAGAGAGAGAACAAACAAATATAGAAGCAATAAAGACATATAGTGTCTTCAAATCAGTATAGGTACATCTACACCGGATAGATCCAAGCCAGCATCATCCACCATAAATCCTACTTGAGAAACTAATAACATACCTTAAGCTGAAAGTTTTCATCCATAAGCTTATTGACAGTTTCATGATCAATTAACTTGACCTCTTGTACAGCAGACACCTTCTCAACAAAAATCTTCTGCGTCTCATGTGCAGTGTGTAGCTGGTCTGCAATGTTCTCCATAGGCTCATGAACCTTGAGGAGCAGTTCATTAGTATCCTGGAGTTGAAGCTTCATTCCTTCCAAAGCTGACTGTAGTTTTGCATTTTCCTGGGTTTTAGCTTTTTCCTAGACATCCCATAATAAGAGGTATCCACAAATATGCATGAGAATATAATGAAGAAGCCGCAATAAGTTGGAGGTGAGTGCGTGGGTGGGTGGGTGATGGAGGATAATAAAAAGAAAGGGCAGCCAGGTGCATGAAGGCATCCGGGAAGGGTCCCACCACAAGAGTGTATAAGGGGCAACCCTTCCCCTGTCAAATTTTTGACAAGAGGCCGCTCCTAATGACTTGAACTTGTGACGTCTTGGTCACACAACAACACCTTAACCAGTGCGCCTAGGATAGTATATCATATAATTATTAAGGTAGTAAAACATGCCTTAGGTGACTCATTTTCAGAAGTGAGCTCATTGACCTTTTCTTCATTAATAAGCTGGAAATTTTGTACCACAGGCATTTCCTCATCAGTCCTATTTGGAGTCTCATGTTCCATCCTGTGCGAAGCTTTAGTCTCTTGGAGCTGAAGCTTCATTTCTTCCAAAGCAGACTCTAGTCTTGCATTTTCCCGGGTTTTCGCTTCTTCTGAAGCCTATAAATCATATCCATAGTCAAGCATGAGAACTTGGAAACAAGGAATCGGGAAAGAATGCGAAGAAGAAATAGTAAGAATCAGAAGTTGATACGCCTTGAAGGTATCTCTTTGAGTTTGTATAATGGAGATTAACTAGGCAGCCTATCTACTATGGATTTAAAACATACCACAAAACCCAGACAACCTTACCTTGAGCTGTTCATTTTCAGTAACAAGCTTATTGACCATTTCATGATCAATGACCTGAGACTCTTGGACCACAGACACCGTTTCAGCACTCACTTTTCTTTGACGTTCTTTCATTAGAAATTCTTTGGTCTCTTCAAACTGAAGTCGCATTTCTTCCAATGCAGACTGCAGTTTAACATTTTCTTCAGTTTTGGCTTGTTCCTTGTCAGCAGTCTCCTTTGCTTTCTCTTGTTCCCTCAGAAGCAACTCTTTAGTCTCTTGAATATTAAGTCGCATTTCTTCCAATGCAGACTGCAGTTTAGCATTTTCTTCAACAGTCTCTTTTGTTTTCTCTCGTTCCCTCAGGAGCAATTCTTTAGTCTCTTGAAACTTAAGTCGTGTTTCTTCCAAAGTAAACTGTAGCTTTTCATGTTCTTCAGCTCTTACTTCCACTAAGTCAGCAGTCTCCTTTGCTTTCTCCCTTTCCCTCATAAGTGATTCTTTAGTCTCTTGAAATTGAAGTCGTATTTCTTCCAAATCAGACTGTAGCTTCACTTGTTGTTCAGTTTTGGCTCCCTCTATTTCAGCAGTCTCATTTGCCTTTTCTTTTTCCCTCATGAGCAATTCTTTAGTTTCGTGCAACTGAAGTTGCATTTCATCCAAAGCACACTGCAACTTCACATGTTCTTCATTTCTGGCTTCCAGTATTTCAGCACTCTTATTTGCTTTCTCATGTTCCCTCATGAACAATTCCTTCGTTTCTTGAAGCTGATGTCGAATTTCATCCAAAGCAGACTGTAATTTCGCATTTTCTTCAGTCTTGGCTTCCTCTATGTCAGCCTGTTGGGAGTCCAATTATTAACTGTAATCATATCTTGTTAAACACAAACCCGGTAAGCCTTAATCCCAATTTGGTCGAGTTAGCTACATTAATATGTTTAATGCTGAATCAATCGTAATGACAGTTAAAGTTGATAACCTGACATCTAAAGGCAATATTGAACATTTCTAAATCAAAGTTTAGAACATATAATAGCTAATGGCACCACAAGTCCATCGCTTTGAATAAAAATGTGAATTCGTACACATACATATTTATCATTCTTATCTTGGTTACAAACTTACAGCTATATAGAGATATTCTGATTCTTTATTGCACAGCATTTGCTACCATGAAGAACAATTGGCTTGGTGGCTGTTCAATATAATTTCTTCTAAGATAGCAATCTTTGTTTATGCACTAGATATAATTATTGATGTTTATAAATTCTCTACCCCACAAATATATCTGTTTTTATTATTTACCGTGAATGGACAAGACATTGATCCAACTGCCTGTTGAAGCAGCAGCAGCCTCCCACCCCAGATTGGTAAAACAAATTAGAGAAAAACATCACATTTACATTTTATATAAACATATATATACCCGCATGCGCTTCTCAAGCTCCAATTGTGAAGAGAGCTCTTCAACTTGCTTTTCCAGCATACTATTGGCAGCTTGCAGAACAGCTGCTTCTTTTGCAGCCTGAAACAGACAAGACAGAGTACGGTATTTAAGACATGTTAACAACAGGCTTGCACCAATCATACATTAATTCCAATCCAAGAAGGAAAAGATTTATAAGGACTTGTACATCAAGTAGGACTTTATAATCTTAATTGTTCTTGTCATGTCAAATATTTGAATCACAATATGAATTAAAGATGGATCAACCTATGGGAAATGATAATGTGGCAATTTAACCCCAATAACAGGTACACAGCCTATCTTCCTTTTCTTTGAAACCCATGATGCATGATCAAATAAATTACTTATGGATGGAACTCTCGTTTTTTAAAAGAAGATAAATGCAGGTCATAAAGAATCTGGGAAAAAGGTGCAAATAAGCCCATGTACTAACCAAAAAAGGGAAAATAAGCCCTTATTTAGGAGACTCAGCCCGGCCGTCGCCAGTTGGGATGGTTCCCGGTGGAATTTTTTGATGAATTTTTTTGAGCATCTTATTCATTAAGTCTAGTTTACTCATACCAAATTCCGGCTAAAACTTCAATCGGGAAGGCATTCAAATGAATTCTTGAAGATAATTGCGCAGTTATCTTCAAGAATTCATTTGAATGCCTTCCCGATTGAAGTTTTAGCTGAAATTTGGTACGAGGAAACTAGACTTAATGAATAAGATGCTCAAAAAATTCCATAAAAAAATTCCACCGGGAACCACCCCAAATGGCGACGACAGGACAGAGACTCCTAAATAAGGGCTTATTTGACCTTTTTTGGTTAGTACATGGGCTTATTTGCACCTTTTCTGAGAAAGGAAAAAGGATCATCCAAGTTCTCTATCATGACACAAGCAGTTTCACTTCTTCAATAAGTAGTAGAATAGCTGATCCTTTCAAATATATTTCAAAAGTATTTTGTGAAGCATTGAATCCAAAAATAAATAATCGAAAGACAATTTGAACTGCTTTAGCCTAACCAAAGCAATGCCGAGGTGAAAATAGGTTGGCTGAGAAAGCAATCCTCACAACATTAACATTGAAACAAAAATCTTTATTCTTCAGTTATTAGATACTTCAAAACTAGATAACTATTGCGTTAACACTTAACGTTTAACACTGGGTATAATTAAGAGAGGTAGGTATTGAAGGAAAATAATAATTCACATTTAAGACATAATATTGTAGTTAGCCGTTACATATCTCTACCATTTAATATTATATTATTACTTACCTTATAGACTTAGTCAGTGTATGTATAAATAGAGCTCATTGTAAACGAGTTATATACATCAAAATATATTCAGACATTCAGTTTCCCTTCTCCCTATTATGGTATCAGAGCCCTTGAGCTCTAACCAGCCCTCCTTCCCTCCTCTATGACAACCGATAATCAGCCTGAGGTTCTCCTTCAACCAGGAGGCCTCGATAATATTCCCACCAGTACACCTATCACCTCTAATACCCCTCCCACCACAGTTTCTGCTCCTCTCACCCCTGATGGATTAATCCTGCTAAATCCCAGTCACTTCCCAGAAAAGCTAGATGGTTCAAATTACCTTGTATGGCGAGATCAGATTCTGGATCTTCTTTTTGGGTCTCACCTTGATCAATATATATCGGATGATGCTGCCCCGCCTCCACAGACTGACGCAGATGGTTACCTCCGATGGACTAGGCAAGACCGCCTCATCCGGCACGCCCTCATAGCTTCCCTGACTTCGGCATGTAAACCTCTCGTTGGGTCGTCTCGTACCTCCGCAGCAGTTTGGAAAACTCTGGAGGAGCTCTATGGGACTCGTTCACCATCTCAAATCCGTAATATGAAGGACACCTTCCGCCACACCAAACAAGGCTCTCAACCGGTGGGGGTGTATCTTCATCACCTGCAAACACTCGCCAATGAATTGGCTCAGGCCAGCCGACCTGTTGATGACGAGGATTTCGTCGTTCAAGCCCTGGAGGGACTACGACCCGAGTTCGAATCATTTGCGAACTCGATTCGTACCTGCGGCGACAATCGGTTCAAGACCATCTATAATTTGCTCACAGGCTTCGAAGCCTCCATGAAGCGAAAGGAAGATTTGAGCTCCACCGCATCGGTAGTCACCGCTAATAACGTAGCTCTTGGCGAACAAGTGGCACTTACGGCACGCAGAGGGAGTCCAGCACCGTCAGTTTTAGGCCCAGGACCACCGGCCCAAATCCAACAGCCGCTCAGTCAGACTAATTTTTCAGGCCGCACTTCTAATCGGAATCAGGCCCGAAATCAGCGGCCCAATACCCATTACGGTCCCAACCGACGTGGAAATAATAACTTTGGAGGTTCTACTAGCAACCAGGCAGCCCGCAACAGCTCGGGGAATAGTAATTTTGGGGGTAATGTTACATGTCAAATTTGTGGGAAACCGAATCATTCTGCTCTCAATTGTTGGCATCGGTTTGAACAACAGGCTTACCCTCCTCAAGTCAACACGGCTGTCACTCGGCATAATGGTTGGCTACTTGATTCTGGGGCAACCAATCATGTCACCAACAACCTGAATAATCTTTCCTTGGCATCCGATTATACTGGCACTGATTCTCTCGTCATTGGTAACGGTAAAGGTCTTGCGATAGCACAAGTTGGGCATATGACCCTTCACTCCCTTTCTCTACCTAATACCCTTTTTGTCCCTTCTATTCATACCAATTTAATTTCTGTTGCCAAATTATGCCGTGATAATGACGTACTAATTGAATTTCATTCTTCCTTTTGTCTTGTTAAGGACCGGCGAACGGGAGCAACTTTGTTACGGGGTATGAATGAAGGAGACGTTTATAGCTTGCCAGATGCCCCCCCCCCCTCCACCATCTCCATCTGCTCACATCACACAAAAATACTCTCTAAATAATTGGCACTGTCGTTTAGGACATCCTGCCCTCCCTATCACTAAAAAAATTATGTCTTCCTTAGGTATTTCCTTTTCTGATGTTACTACAAATAATTCTCTATGTGTCTCGTGTGCTAGTAATAAAAGCCATAAGTTACCATTTGCAAAATCATCTCTTTCGAGTTTTGGACCTCTAGATTTAATCTATACAGATGTTTGGGGTCCCGCTCGTGTTCATTCTGTTGATGGCTTTCGTTATTATGTTATCTTTGTTGATCATTATACCAAATATATTTGGTTTTATCCCATGTCTCATAAAAGTGAGGTCACTCCACTCTTTCAACAATTTAAAAAGATTGTTGAGAACTTTTTCCAACGCACAATTAAAACAGTTTATTCTGATGGAGGGGGCGAATACATAACCTTAGGGAAATTCCTAAGCACATGTGGAATTTCTCATTTATTTACGCCTCCCTACACTCCAGAGCACAATGGCTTTGCTGAACGCCGGCACCGTCACATTGTGGAAACCGGTATCACCCTACTTCACCATGCATCCATGCCTCTCAAATATTGGTCCTATGCTTTTCTGACAGCAGTTTATCTCATTAATAGACAACCTGCCCTCTCCCTTAACTTTTGCACTCCATATGAAAAACTTTTCCAACAACCTCCCAATTATGCTAAACTTGCTGTTTTTGGGTGCCAATGTTTTCCTTGGTTACGTCCTTATACCACTCATAAACTGGAACCACGCTCTAAACCTTGTGTCTTTTTGGGGTATTGTGACCAACAAAGTGCATACCGTTGTCTTGATCTTACCACCAACCGTATCTTTGTCAGCAGACATGTTGTGTTTGACGAATCAGTCTTCCCCTTCTCTACATCCTCACCACCCGTCTCAAATATCACTTCTGAAGTTGATCACTGGCTTCAACCTTCTATGTCTTATCTTCCCATTTCAGGTACTCTGGTTGCGGGGGCGTCTCCTCCTACTCATACCTCAACTCCACAGTTGGCTCTTGACACGTCACCCACTACCTCCACCCAAACTGATATACAGCATTCCCAACTCCCTGAACCCACACCACCACAAATTATTACTTACCAGCGCCGACCCAAACTCAATCCTCCTGACCCCACCCCTCCTCTACCCACCACCACTGTTCTCACTACCTCAAACCCACCCAATACTCCACTACCCAAACGTACCCATCCAATGACCCTTCGACCTCGCAAACAGGCCAATATTGCCACTAATGTTCCTTTACCTCACCATGTAATTCCCACTTGTGCTTCTCAAGCTATGCAGGTACCAGAATGGCGGAGTGCTATGACAGTAGAATTTGATGCTTTGGTTCGACAGGGCACTTGGGATCTTGTTCCGGCTCAGCCTGGTCAGAATATTGTGGGTTGTAAATGGGTATATACTGTAAAGTATAAACCAGATGGCTCCTTGGATCGCTATAAGGCTCGGTTGGTGGCTAAGGGTTTTCATCAGCGCCCTGGGATTGATTATTCTGACACCTTTAGCCCGGTCATCAAACCGGTAACTATCCGCATTGTCTTGACTATTGCTCTTTCTCATAATTGGCCGGTGCATCAGTTAGATGTCAATAACGCTTTCCTACATGGGAATCTTCAAGAGGAAGTTTACATGAAGCAACCTCCTGGTTTTAATGATGGTTCTGGGTTTGTTTGTCGTCTTCGGAAATCCATTTATGGCCTTAAGCAGGCGCCTCGAGTGTGGTATCAATCTCTCAGTGGCTTTCTTCTTTCACTTGGATTTTATCAATCTGTTGCTGATGCCAGTTTGTTCATCTTTTCCTCTCATCCATCTTACATCTATGTATTGATTTATGTGGATGACATTATTGTTACTGGCTCTAAACCAGCCTTGGTACGTCAGACTATTGACTCATTGGCCCACCAGTTCTCTATCAAGGATTTAGGAGCTCTGCACTATTTTTTGGGCATGCAGGTTACTCCTACACAGGGTGGACTCTTTCTTGATCAACATAAATACATTATGGACTTATTAAAAGTTGTACAAATGGATGAGGCTAATCCTGTTGCTACGCCGTTAGCCCCTTCTGCTTCATTAACTCTATTTGACAGTTCAGGCTCTTGTGATGCCACTCTCTATCGCCAGGTCCTCGGGTCACTTCAGTATTTGAATCTTACTCGGCCAGATGCTGCCTTTGCTATTAACAAATTGGCTCAATTTATGCATAAACCGACGGTTAATCACTGGCAACTTCTCAAACGCCTCTTGAGCTATCTACACGGCACTGCCTCTCATGGGCTCTTTCTTTGTCGCATCACCTCTCCCTCTCTCCGGGCCTTTGCTGATGCTGACTGGGCAGGAAATCCTGATGACCGCTCCTCTACCAGTGCATATGCCATCTTTCTTGGGGAGTCCCTTGTATCTTGGAAATCTGTTAAGCAACGCACTATTGCTAAATCTTCCACGGAAGCAGAATATAGAGCTCTTTCTACTGCTGCCTCTGAAATTATTTGGATTGAATCTCTTTTGCGGGAGTTGCGGCATCCATTGCCTTCTCCTCCACTCCTCCTTTGTGATAACAAAGGAGCTACTACATCTTCAGCCAATCCTGTCTTCCACTCTCGCATGAAACATGTGGCTATTGACTTTCATTTTGTTCGACAGCGGGTTCAACGTGGACTACTTGAAGTTCATCATATCCCATCTTCTGATCAGATAGCTGATGCCCTCACTAAACCGCTTCCCCGGCAACGCTTTATGCTTCTTAGAGACAAGCTTCGGATTCTTGGCAGTGACAGAATACCTAGCTTGCAGGGGCGTATTGAAGGAAAATAATAATTCACATTTAAGACATAATATTGTAGTTAGCCGTTACATATCTCTACCATTTAATATTATATTATTACTTACCTTATAGACTTAGTCAGTGTGTATAAATAGAGCTCATTGTAAACGAGTTATATACATCAAAATATATTCAGACATTCAGTTTCCCTTCTCCCTATTAGTAGGGAACAATTTACAATAGCATGCCTTCAAATAAAGGCGCTCATGTTTTTTCTTGAAAGAGGAAAACAAGAATACAAGATCTCACCATTTTAAGTTTGCGTAGCTCTTTGCGTGCAACTCTTACCCTCCATGCACACTGCGCAGTAATAGCTGCTTTTTTCATTCTCTTATAGTAAATGTGGTCCAAGAATCCACGGAAATGGCTCTGAAACCAATGATAAAGGATTAGCATAGACCTCCATGAAGATGAAAAAGGAGTTGATTTCTAGATTAAATTCCACCTAGCTTGAATGGACATACCCAACCTATTCAGGGTGGACAAGAAATTCTTAAAGATGTGCAAAATCAGAGATGAAGGGAAATGTTATCCATTATTTTATTATGAACTGATAATACACATCATTATAAAGAACATAGTGAGAGGGAAAAACAGATGTATTCTTAACTCAAAAATTATCTGATACAACCCCTCATTTTAAGAAGAGAAAGTGTAGGGGTACATTAAAAGTGTACATTATAGGGAGACAATCCTATGTGGCATATATTCATTGAATGATGTTCACATGTCTAACTTTTCATCACTAATGAATGTATGACATAGGGGTATGTCTCCCTAAAATGTATACTTTTAATGTTCCACTGGACTTTCTCTTTAAGAGATTCCAAGTTGACTCTCATTATTGACTTACTACTCATGTTGATCCATACAAAAGCTAAAATAGTAAACTCATGGCTTATAACGAAGACCAGAGGGACTGAGAGAGTATATACAACGAATCATATCCATTTCAAAATGATCACTTAGTATTAATGAATGTGATCGGATAATGGTTATCATAATCATGTGACATTTCAAAGCAAGTTAATCTCACCAAAAGTAATCTTTGACCACATCAAGTGCTAAATTTTATGTTCTTCACTAGCCATGTATCCTGGTAATAGAGTATTGTATATTTCTTGGAAACTAATTGTGTTCTGGAGAAATAAAAATGGCTTATTCACTACAAGAATTGATTTCATATCATGTGCTCTGGACCAAATAAGAGTCATGTCTCAAACAGTATTTTGTCACCAATAAGATCCTTAGTGATTAAACGAAGCTAACTTTATATGTTATTTACCATAACAGAGTCGCAAACAAGTTAGATATGAGAAATTAGTTTAACTAACAAATAAACTCTAGAAGTATACTTTGGGTTAACCGGTTAATACACATTCAAAGGAGACTTGTGTGTCCTCAACAATTAATGGAGACCAAGTCTTTTATGTGGCATGCATTTATTGCTAATTTATATTAACGGTGCCCTACAATTTAAATGTGAATTATTAACCAAAAGAAAGACTAGGTCTCCATTGATGGAGACGTACAAGTCCCCTAGAAGTACTCAACTACCATAGTTTAATGATTTAGATATGTTGTAACTTACAAAATTAAAGGTTGTCAAGCATAGCTCTTTTTTAGGATGGAGGTGGTACTTGCAACTTCATGTAAAAAAGACATAAAACTTTGTAGAACCCTTTTACCTGAATAGTGATGGCTGCTTTTCTTTTTCTTCTATAGTTAAGCTCATTATGAGCCGCCATCCCACGTAACCCTGTCTGGATGAAAACAGCTGAAGAGCAAAGCAACTTGTAAGCTTTCTTTGAAAGGAACATACGTGCGAATTTTCCAATCACCAAAGAAGCCATGTCTCTTCTCATCCACTCATAGAAGCTGCGTGCAAGCTGACCTGTATCCAGATCATGATCAGGTTAAGAGAACTTCAAGCTTAAGTAATCACATCAGTAAACCTACATTGGGATAAAGGTCAGACAGACCTCTGCATATAGCTTGGGTTTCAATTGCTGAATCTCGTAACAAAAGAAAGGTTTTGCGGGTAAAGTAGGAACGGATTTTTCTCTGTATAGTACATGCAGATCTTCCAAGGAGCTCATTACGGTGTGCATCTAATTCAGCCATCTGCCCAACTCTGAGAAACACCTTGGTTTTGCCAATCTGCATGAAACAATTATTATCATACTTGCACAAAGCTGCATGTTCTTTATCCATGAAAGTTCATACATTTCGCTGGTTACTATGAGTTGTTTATCTTTTTTAATGATTTATTTTTAAGGATAGAAAAATACTCCGTAGTGTATAAAAATAAATGTTGAAATTTAAAATCCAAAATCAGGGGTTTATTTCGTATAATTCCATAATATTTCATAAATCAAATGTATAAAGTACTCCCTAATAAGAAGAGAATCGATTTCATAAGTTATGTGTTTTCTAGATTTTTACTCAGTTCAATAACAGAGTAGTTTGTTTTGTTTCAAGTCTTTTACATGTCTGTCCGTTATACTAAATTATTTTGTAACGGACAGACAAAGAACATAAGAGTAGTTGAAGCCACTTTATGTTAAATGCCATACAGCGAATTAGTTGACAAGTGACACTCCCCACATGTGACACTATTTTTAGTTAAGCAATTACTAAGTTGTTCTTATTTATATAGAACCATGGCAAACTTGAGTAATTTCTGATCATAAATGAAGGAAGATTGAATTAGCTAAACAAAGACATAAGAGTTACCTGGTAGCCTTTGAGACCAACCTTCTCTAAAATCATCTTGGAAGCAGTGACCTCATCACATCTATAAATGTGGAAAAAGAAAACCTCAGTGACAGTGAAATGACAAGTAAAGCATTCAATAAAAAGGGATAAATTCATACCAATTGCCTATAGATACTTTAAAGGACAGAAACGTTAAAGCATTGAATCATAATGCATTCCACAGTTACTAGTGCAAATACCTGCCACTCTGAACTTCAGGAGAAAGGACAGAAAAACGTCTAGCAAACTCATCGAACTGTCTCCGGGTGGGAAAACCAGCACAGCTAATCCTAATGGCTTCCATAACACCCTAGAACAACATAGCTCTCTTTTGAGAAAATTTGAAAACACAAACCCCTTTCTATATGAGATGGAATAATGAAAGCATACCCCACACCGAAGTTGCTGGAGAACATTCTGATTCTCAAAGATGGCTGGCTTTAAAAGGTTATTTGGCTTTACACATCGAATGTAGTGAGGCTCGGTGGCACTAAGTGTTTCAAGTAATAATTGCAGTTGTTGCTGTATCATATACAAGGTCATACAAAGTTAGGCATGGCCACACAACAACGATACAAAGTTTAAAGTTAATTTAGTATTACTTGATGAGTGAGAACGAAGAGCCTTTTAAAAAAGATGTAGCTAGAAAGAAGTTTCGTTGGTGTGGTACCATTATATCACAATATAGGGATAACTGATAACCAATGGAACATCTCCCTCCTCCAACCACACTACTTGTTTAGCTTTTCTCAAGTTGGACATCTTGTTCTCTCTTCAAAGACATGTTGGTACTTTTTCCATATTGACAACCGAAGATAAAGGGGTTCGAATAAGTTTATTTAGTTTGTAGATGTCTTTGGATGCGTATTTGTCACCATGTTTAAAGAAAGAAAGACCTCATAGTTATTTGTTGGTTGCTAAAAGGGTCAAAGTCATATAACAAAGTTATGAAAGAAAGTTGACATTTGTTCCAGTGAACATTAACACAGGCCAAACTAGACTATTTGAACTGAATAGCCACATAAACTAGTTCTTGTATTGGAGAGTGGTGAAACTTTGAAAGCATACCTTAAATCTAGTGCCAATAGAGGAAAACTTTGATGATTTAGAAGATTCTTCATGTAGTTGTGAGAATAGACCTGAGATGAAAGAGCACCCTGATGAACTGAGGAGTTCTTGGTGCTCTGCAATGACATAGTCTTTGTTCTTATCCAAGAATAACTCAGTTTGATATGTGACCTAAGACAGCAAATTTCAGTTGCAAAGAAAGCAATAAGCAACATATTTGATTGATAATTGTTGTGGATACATATAAAGGAATTATGTGTATCCTCACGAACAACTCATGGGAGTGGAAGACACACTTTAATATGAAAAAAAAAGTAAATTGTACCAGATGATACTTTCCACTCACTACACACACAAAAATAAATGTGTTTGGCTAGTAAACAAGATCTCCCATCCACAATAAAAATCATGAATTGCATGTGTTTGCTAGCGTTTTGCTTACTTACCTGCTAACTTACGGTTTTATGCTATTTTATTTCTTTCCTTTTTGCCAAACATTTTTTACCACACTGCTCACACAGCCTTTCAGTCTTTCACCTTCTAAGACTTCCCAATTTTTTCCTTCGTTTCACGGAAACAACATATTTATTCTTAAGGTGTTAAGACTTGGGGTTCCATCCTAAAATGTCAAACAGATAGAAGGAGTAGCCCAAAATCTTATATAGCGTTTATTACTTTATAGCAATCTGCCATGGGACAGATACTTTAACATGCCCCTCAACCCAAACTGGGCTAGACAATATCAGGTGTATAAATGGGTCAAACAAACCCTTAACAAATTATCCTTAATCATGTGTGCTAAACGTGCAGTCAAACTGCAATCGGACTTGACTTTGATACCATGTTAAGACTAGGAGTTTCATCTTAAAAGGTCAACCTAATAGGAAGAGTAGTCTAGTACCTTAATATACCATTTTTTATTTTTTATTTTTTATTTTACCGGTTTAGGACTTCAACAAGGGGTAGAGGTAAAGTCTATGTACATATTACCCTCCCCGTACCTTACTTATTAATGGGCGTGTTTGGTGTAGTTTAGGTGAACCACATACAACATACTTCAATAACAATTTAACAAATACAGCAAAGAGATGCGCACCTCACCAGCATAATGAACAATAGTGAAGTCAGTTCGTGATAACTTTGGCTTGTTGAAACGTTTGTTGTCTCGGAAGGTCTGATAGAGCTTCTCAGCAAAGGTCTCATGTGTCGACCTTGGGAACATGCTGCAAGGAGTAAAAATGTCTTGCTAAGGGTAAAAACCTAGACCATCTGAGTAAGGAATGAATATTCTATAGTTTAAAGCTATTTACCAAGCTTCATCCAGCAGAGCAATAATTCCACCAGGTTTCTAAAGCAAAAATGAAAACATTAAATTAAAATACAACAAGTGTAGAAGCAAAAACACTAGTGCACACACTGAAACACAAAAATAAAGGTGCACGAGTCTGAGCAGTATTGATGACCAAAATATAAAACTTGCAAGACCAAACAAATTAACCATAGGAAAACACTTCAAGAAAGCGTATTTGATAGCCTTCTTGCCCGAGTGATATCTAATTCTTTACATGTTGTTTTTCTCGTATTTCATGCATATAAACTTTGCTCCATTTTACTTATATTTTCTTTAATGCAAACATGACAGAAGTACAGCTTAAGATTTTTATGGAAAGATCAACATAGTGTAGATGTGAAGATGGCGAACACAAGGAGGGAACTCAATGAACAGTACTTCTCAATAAATGAATAGCATAACAGTATAAAGAGGGAACAAGGAAAAGAGCACTATCAATTGTTTCTCATGTCCCCACTTCCTTGGTTACCTAATTGATTTATCTACATACGTAAAGGAAGGGGTTTGTCTTGTTGGATAGAAAAATTATCTGGCCGAGCTGGGTTTGAACCCTGACCCATCAAGTGATCACTCCATATGCATCTATTCTAATATTGTAATGAATCTCATACCAACTTGGTATACTGTATAGACTCTACTGAGAGTCTGAGACCAGTTACAAATCCCCTACATCAACACTTGCCCCCTTCCCCTGGATATGTAAGAGAAACTACGTTCTTACACTACTAATCTTATAACCCTGAATGTGTCAAGGACTAATACAATCATAGGGTTGAAGAAGTGAACATATAGGACAATAATCCAACATCCACCAAAAACAGATATCTATATATTGCCCACATGATCTCGGGTCTCCAATAACTTATGTTCGATTAAAGCTTCTAAGGGCAATAACTTATATAGGACAATAATCCAACGTCCACCAAAAAAAGATAATATTACTAGATTTCATCATACTCCTAAAACGCCATTTCTTTATCAGGTTATGCTACGAAGGGCTTAAGTCTCATATAAATACAATATGCATATCTTGATTAAGACAACTTGTTCAATATACATTATTCAGTATAAAAAGAGTTGGGATAAACATGTGCTTCTTTTCATTGCTCCCTGATCTACACATAACTAGTATCTTCCTTCTCTTCCTAACAGCTTAATAATTAGAGCTTTTAAAACTGATGACACCAAATATTTAAAATTCATCAACCAAAGAATCACAGAACTCATATACTCCCTCTGTCTCACAAAATTTTTCCCACTTACCATTTTGGGATGTCCCAAAAAATTCTTCTCATTTCCCTTTTTGAAAAGTTTTTGTGGCTAACATTCATTTACCTTTTTCTTACTCAACCACAACCATACATTTCCACTTTATTCCCACTTTCTTAATAAGCGTGCCAAGTGGCCCAAGTCAAAGCAGGAAGATTTTTTTGGGACAGAGGGAGTATGTACTATGTAATGTTTTAGCATATTGTGAATTCAATGACTGATATAAGCAAGATCTTACATTTCTAAAAAGTAGTACTTTGATAGATTTGCTCAAATTCATGCTTTTACCTCCAAAAAATTCAAATGAACAAGCCAATCATGCAACATGGTTGTATATAGAAGAATGCCAACAAAAAAGTTACATCACACACTTCAGTAAAATTAAAATCTAGCATGCGTTCACGATTAAATGTGTACATACTGACCTTTTCAATAAGATCAAGAACATCTTGGTTATCAACAAACTCTATGTAGCTCCAATCAATTTCTTCTCTGGTGTACTCTTCTTGCTCCATTTTGAAGACATGCTACAGTAGAAAATAACACAATCAGATTACCTACTTCAGCTTTCATTAGTACTTCGTTGTTTACTATGAACAGTCTCGGTGTTATATAATATTACTAGGGTTGTTGATAATATGTGGGGTACACACCTGGTTGAAGTGTTGCTGCAACTTTTCATTAGTCAAATTAATGCAGAATTGTTCAAAACTGCATGAAAGAGATTCCTATCAATCACAGGAAATATAAATCCTCAAGAGTCAAGAGTATCGAAAACTACCCACTCTCATAATGCATTGGCAAGGCTTATTCACCAAAGTTTTATAATAGAAAAAGAAAAGAGACTTAGTAGACTAAATGGTGCTAGAAAGGAGCTAAAAGTACACCTAAAAAAAGGTAAGAAGATTAAAGAAGAAATAAACCAGGAAGACTAAAAAACAGACGTGACCATGGCTATTTTCAATGATAAATTGTTAGTCTTACTATCCTGGGGTCAAATGGACTATCTAAAAATTAAGGCCTTGAGCTAATTAGCACAACACTTGGAGTAAATGGTGGGTAAGTAACTGCGCCAACTTGGCAATTTGAAATGGATTACTAGATTAACTAAACCAAGATGTTATGATGTTTGTTACTTAACAATCAGAGCTACTTTTATATGAGTATAGATTTGTACTGAATTAGGTTATGGCTAGTAACTCCTGAATCTAAGAGTGATTATCCAAAATCAGAACATAAGCCCTCCAAAAAGTAGAAAATACATAATACAAGGAGAACTCATCAGATCAGTACGCGTGGAAATGTATTTTAACTTAAACTAGCCCTAAATCCTTATAATAAACTCATAAGAACAGAACTTTATTGCAGTATTCAACAAGAAATGCCTCTACGATGATGAAAACAAAAGCATACCAGCTAAGCACCTGTTTGTCTTGAAACTCTCAAATCCATAAATATCCAGAACCCCAATCAACAACTGAGAATCGGGATCTTGGCCAATTGAATTATTAATCTTGTCAACGAGCCTGAATAAGAAAGTGTGTAAAAGTGAGATACATCTGATACTTATGAGCCGATACAGACTCACCAAACTGTTTCAGCAACTAACCAATCAAATAGTTTAGAGTAGACCGTTTTTGCCAAAGCGTCTCGATTGATAGCAGCAGCATGGGGATCCAGACATTTTGTTATCTTCTCGTCACGAGTTACAATGATGCGTTTACACAAAGAATCCTCTAGGGACTTCTCATTACACCTAAACAAACCTTAACTATGATGAACTTTGGAAGCAATAATACAATGTAGTATATGTGAAGTAACATGTCAAAAAAACTTACATAAAAAGTTCAGCTGCAGTTTTCAGGTGGAAGCGAGACTGATCATCCTTAGGTTCTGCAGAATCAGCCTCGCTTCCCTTTGTGAACTCGATGTTGCCCAAGTGAAGTATTGCAGCCACAACCCTAAAAATGGCATCCTGCAAATGGATTTTATTACTAGCAACATCACCAAGTCCTACTTGTATTAATAATAGTGTTCTGATTCTAATACCTGCTCATCAGAACTGATCCCAACAACATCCATGGCTCGCCTGGTGGCAAGGTACTCTTTAGATTCATCCACTTCATCCAACTCAAAAAAATTTGACTGGTTTAAATAATGAAAGTTCCTAGGGTTTCCCAATTTGTACTTTTCAACATCCTGATGACAATTATTACAAAAAAATTAAATGAATGAAATCGCAAGTCAAAGTTAAGGTGATTACTGTAATACTCCAAATTCATTGCTTGGTAACTGAGGATTGTGAATGTATTCACATTTAAGGAAAATGAGCTGGTGAGTAGTTATTGGTCAACATATCAATCATAAGACACATCTAGTTGCAAGCAATAGATTGTGAGGGAAACTGAGCAAGGACTCGAACTTTACTAGTTGTGTTGACAAACAATTATTTAATGGTTTACCATATTTTGTAAATAAACAGGAAGAGTACATTTTTCTCCTTAAGGTAAGATGTAACGAGGTTAAAACCAAGCGTTGCAAACACTTTGAAGACGCTTCTTCCCATATATGAAACCAACAAATTTAATATTACATTCTTAGACAAGCAACTAAAAAATAAAAGAATCCATGTCTTGATCATCAACAGGTTCGGCAGAAACTGAACTGAAAAATCTGGGTCAACCTGGCAATCACTACGAAGCAATTGATTCCCCCAGATCTAAGTACGGAGCTTCATTAGTTCTTAAGATGAAATACTTTACCTCTACTGGTGCAGCACAAAGCATATAGAAGCAATGATAATTCCTTTCAGGGTCAGAAACCTGGCACACGCGAGATCTTTCCAGAAGATATGTTCTGATAGCGGCACCGGAGATTCTTCCCCTTTTATCAAACTGAATCTCAACAAACTTACCAAAACGGCTGCCCCCAATTCATCATTGTAGTACAGACTTTGATCAGATAAAAGAACAACAATAAATACAGTCTTTTCATAATAATAGTTCAATGGAAGCATTTTAAAATGTGAAGTATTCTCACCTTGAATTGTTGTTTCTTACTGTTTTTGCATTCCCAAATGCTTCAAGAACCGGATTTGACTGCCAAATAAGAAAATAGTCCAAATAACTTTGAACAGATTAGAATTCCGGAAACCAGAACGCTATAGCATTATTAAAATAAATATATAAGGAAGGCAATGCACACCTCAAGAACTTGTTGCTCCACACTCCGCCCCTCAGCAGCAGCTCTCCCTCCCATATATGCAAGATAATTCATAAGCATTTTCGTGCTTTCTGTCTTACCAGCTCCGCTTTCTCCACTGACCAAAATTGACTGGCTTACCCCATCATTAATCATCTGCCTATATCCAACAGTGACACATTTTATAAAAAATGTGGAAAGAATTTGTAAAGTACATGAATTAAAGCATAAAAACTTGCACCATAGCTTGCCTGTAAGCAGCGTCAGCAATAGCAAAAGGATGAGGGCTCAACTCCCCAAGTGCAACTCCTTTATACTTTTCCATGATACATTTACCATACAACTCAGGTAATCGTTTAAAAGGGTTTACAGCAATCAATATATTTCCTGTGTAAGTCTGAAGGAACAATTAGTTATATCAGTGCAGTTCACAGGTCAACTGAAATCTTGACAAAAAAGAACACCAACATATCCAAAGTAAACAGAAAGGAAACATTTCTTTACTACTAGATCAAATCGATAGCAGAAAGAAGATCAATATGTCAGCGACGAACTAAAGTGAGATATACTCACATATATCTCATCATTATCATATCTACATCTCAAGTTATAGAGAACTCCTGGTTCATGAAGATAAGAAAGCTTTGTCATATCATCAACACCACATGATGGGGCCTCAGTATCTTTTGGATAGACATTGGATGCTTTGGTAACAACCTACAAGCACAAAACAAATGGAACTTGAAATTACAAATCAGATTACTTGTTCATTGAAAAGTAAAATGCATGATAAAATGGTCAACAGATTCAAAAGTGGCATGGTACATGTTAACTTTGATTTACGTAGTTCAAACATGGAGTGAATTCAATGGGTGCAGATAACTAGAAAAGGCACATAGTATTTGATGGCCACAGATAATTATACCATTGTACTACCTCCATCCTAGGCAAAAGTTAGCTTTTAATGTAGTTTCTGAATATGAAAATTTTATTTACTAAAAATAATCTTGATCAGTTAACTTTAACGAATTACTCCATCCGTCCCGGGCAAAGGTTCTTGTTCGGTTTATGATGTTTGACTGGCCATAAAGTTAACGGACACATTACCACACTGGGGATAGAACACAAAAAGAATAAAGATCACTAGAGTTAAGAAGAGAAAATAAAGATTACTTCTTTTTAATACCCAATAGGAAATATTAGAGCTGACTATGCCCTAGAGAACAAGAGAATAAAGATGAAAAAGTTTCTGCAAGATAAACCATTTTAAATTATACTAAAGCATCATACCTCCGAGATCTTCCTAAAAATGTTAATTAATTAATTAATTCTAGCTAATAATGATGATGGTGGTGGTGGTGAAGAGACAATGAAGCAAAAGCTTACTGCTTTCCCTGATGTACAGTTGACTGTAATATCTTCTCCATTGATTTCAACAACCTCCCCATCTATCCAAGCTACCTCAGGATCATCAACCCAAACATGGTTTCCAACACATACACTGGAAGCACTCTGCAAGAAATGGTCAACATTACTAAAGAACAAAAAACAGAGCTGAGAAATAGGCGTCCGTTATTAGACTATACCGCTAACCTCACAAAACATATTCATGTTTAAGGAATGTTTGAAAGATATACGCGTGCAGCAAAACTACGATTCATGCAATTCATAATGAAAAGGCTAGCAGCAATCGTTCAGATGAAAGGTTTTGTTCGTATGCAAAAAAATGTACATAGAAAGAAACCTCATTGTGATCTCTATGCATGACGAAGAAAAAACAAGAAGCAGATGAAGAAAGGTGACTTCTAATTTCATTTAAAGAGGATCATTAATCATTATTTATTTATCTATCTGCTTCACAATGACATGTAGGCTGGGACTTGGAACCGGAGAACCGAACCGGACCGAACCGTTGTGACCCGGTTTGGTTCGGTTCCAAAATTTATTAGTTATTTGTTAACGGTTCAGTTCTTATTTTTATTAACGGTTCGGTTCTCGGTTCCTGAAAAAAATATGTACATGGAACCGTTAAGGAACCGTTATATATAATAATTAAAATTTTATATATTTCTTATTAGTATATATGTTTTAATGTGTATTACTTATCTATTTTTATATTACATTCACTATTTTAGTTTAGTTATTTAACTATTTAAAATTATTTTTCATTTTAATCGGTTCTCTTGGGCTTTTTTAGCGAATATCTACTTTTATTTTATTTACTAAAATTTGCAGTTTGGTATGTATTTATGTGTTAAACTCAGCTATTGATGTTTGAAATGGTGTTCAACATATTTGTTTTGTAATTTCAAACGTTGAATGTCTTTTTGCCACAAATTTAATCGTGATCTGTAAGAAATTTTTTAAGGAATAGGAACCGTTAAATAACAAGAACCGAACCGTTAAGAATGGTTCGGTTCCTTAACGGTTCTATAAAATAATTTATAAGAACCGAACCGTTAGTAGAATTTCATATTTTCAAACGGTTTCACATATTTTGCTTAGGAACCGAACCGGTCCTCACGTTTGTTATGTAATTTAATTGTGAACTCTAACATGTAACTCCCGGCCGAGCTAAACTACTCTAATATCTTGATTCAATCAAGAAGTATTAGAGTTCTAACGGGATAAGAAGGGATATTAGAGTTCAATTTAATCTAAAGCAATCACGAAGCAGTTCGTATACCATGCAACCGTCCCACGGTGCGCATGGTATACCTGGGAGAGCGACTCGTATATTTTGGCTTTGTTATTTTTTATTTCTCCTTTTTTAAAAAATGTTAATAATTTTTTTATTTTTGATCCGATTTTTATAAAATTTATATCAAATTTTTTTATTTTTCATGATCTTTCAAATGAGACCAATATTGCCTATGTAATTTTAACATATTAACATTTGCGTGTAAAAATATGTAACTTTACGTGTTAAAATATGTAACTCACGTTCAGTCAGGCCAAATGCAACTCGTGTGTATAAATATGTAACTCTACGTGTAAAAATATGTAACTTTACGTAAAAAATGTGTAACTCGCGTTGAGACAGGTCAAATGCAACTCGTGTGTATAAATATGTAACTCACGTGTATAAATATGTAACTTTACGTGTAAAAATATGTAACTTTACGTGTAAATATATGTAACTCGCGTTCAGGCAGGTCAAATGCAACTCGTGTGTATATATATGTAACTCGCGTGTAGAAATATGTAACTTTACGTGTAAAAATATGTAACTCACATGTATAAATACATAATACAATAAATTTTTTATATACACAATTTTAAGATAAATTGTGGATTACACAATTATTTTTCTGTATTAAATTTAGTTCGATTTTCCTTATAATCCAGTACTCATTAATATAATAGTTCGATAATTTCTTAAAATTACATAAGCAATATTGGTCTCATTTGAAAGATCATGAAAAATAAAAAATATTGATATAAATTTTATAAAAATCGGATCAAAAATAAAAAAGTTATTACCATTTTTAACAACAAAAGCAATAAAAAATAAAGAAACCAGGCACAATACTCCGTCGTTTTGCAACCGGACGCACCATCCTCATGGTGCGCCGGTTGCACGATATAATTTGCGATCACGAAGTATCATCTATTCGGTAGTTATTTTTGTATGTAACCGTTTCAACTTCAAAAATATTTAAAAAAAAATGGTTACATACCCTACAACATCTTTTATTTGAGGTAGCCTAGTACTTTCACTTTATCGATCTGATCCGTGGCTTTACATATTCTCCTATCTATTTTTACTCATGTCGTACACAAGAAAAAAGACAATTATTTTTTTAATTGTTTCTATTGTATGTGTGTGCATGTCAATTATATTTATCGAAAACAAAATGTGAAATTAATTGACTATAACAGTAAGTGATTATATGTACATATACGTCTCTTGAGTGAAAACACATTATTGCTTTGATTATATATAACAGTAAGTGATTATATGCAGTGGCGGACCTAGAACTTTTCTCAAGCGGGGACACTACTTATTGACGCAGACAAGCCAAGTAAGGTGTGAGACTAATGTATTTAATGTGTAGACAATTTTTTTAAACAAAAACAAGTTGTTCAGTTTCAGTACAGTTTCAAATGATTTACATCTATATACAATAGGTCTAGTTTTCAACCCATTAAAACAATTCTAAATAATAATAAGCACTTTCTTCAAAGAAAAACATAACATTTCATATGAATTAGAACTGAATCATCCTGGCACCATTTCTTGTTTTGGATTAAAACTCAAGTTGTTTTTGTACTACTTATGGTAATAATCTTGATTTAGAACTAGCATAATGTCCAACGTTACATATTGTGCCACATAATTAGAGTGTCCAAATTCCTTCATCAACTTGGGATTAAATTGTGAACTCTAACATGTAACTCCTGGCCGAGCTAAACTACTCTAATATCTTGATTCAATCATATGCCGTTTGTTACTACTACACTCTTTTCTTTTCTTTTTTGAAGAAAAGAAACTTAATTAATATCAATCAGATCATTGTTCAAAATACAATTAAGAAAAACAGGAGGAACATCAAACCAAGTATGCAAATCAGCTAAAGAACATGCCACCAAGCTCATGGGCAGCCCTTGTTCCTTGATCGCCTCACGTGAGTAAAAGAAATGCAAGAAAAATTCTTTGACAAATGTTTGATATCTTCGGCCATCATTCCGGTAGAGGAGCTGCTTGAAACTTTGAGTATTTCTGCAATGGCACAAGCTGAATCCGATTCAACTTCCACCGCCTTCCAATCAAAATCCAGTATCCAACTCAAAGCCTCCCTGATGCCAACCAGTTCCGCGATTAAGGGGGGCAAGTCCCCATCCACGGTCGAGCCCCTCCAGCCACAAAGCTCCCTAACTCATCATGTAAATACCAGCCCAGTCCGCACCCTGAAACACGAACCGCAACATCCACGTTCAATTTCAACCGCCCCGAGGTCGGTATGCTCCAAGCCGTCACCCGTTCCTGCTGAATTTGGTGACTCTGGAAGCTTGAACCTGAGACCACCCCAGAACCATAGCCTCTGCCTTTCTCATAAATTGAGTTGTCGGTAGAGATGACCCATTCCAAAACCGCTGGTTGCGCTCGCACCAGATTGCCCAACACCCCCAAACTAACTTCTGCAGATCATCCTTACTTCTTGAACCAAATTCCCACTTCAACTGATCCATGAAGTTCGTAGCCCCTCGGTCCATCCATTGCCACAAAATGACCTGCCAAGCTTCTCTCGCTACCTAAGAGGAGACAAAGATGTGAAGTAATGATTCCTCTTCCCCTGCGCACAGACCACAAACCACCGGACAGTCCACCCTTCTGGCTCTCAAGTTCGGCCTGGTCGGAAGACATCCCCTGCACACTTGCCAAAAAAAGTTTTTCAGTTTCGGGGGTAAAGACCAAGTCCAACAAGACGAAATAGCATCCCCAACCAACCTTCTATAGCAGCTTTTAACAGTAAAGAGACCATTTCATTCCCCATCTCCAACAAATTTTATTCGGTATTTGCCTTAAACTAATCGGGATACTTCTCATTAACGAAACATCCCTCTCGATAAATAAATCCATAAGAATATCCTCATCCCACTTCCGCCTCGTGGCAGCCAAGAGATTAGTCACTGAAGCCTCTTGCAAACCATTTGTAACCTCACTTAAAATTTTGGGATTATCACAATCGGGCAGCCAGGGGTCTGATCTCCAGATGTTGATAGATTTACCGTCTCCAACTCACCAGCAAAACCCATCCCGAATAAGATATTGAGTCTGCAAAAGACTCCGCCTAATGAATGAAGGATTACTTCCAAGATTAGCTGATAAAAAGTCGCCTCTTGGAAAGTATCGAGCCTTAAAAACCTTCCCTACTAAAGAATCCGGGTGAGTAAAAAGGCGCCGGGCTTGTTTAGCTAGCATGGCTAAGTTAAATTCCCGCAATCTCTTGAAACCCAGTCCCCCTTCCTTTTTCGGTCGACATAAAGCAGCCCAATCTTTCCACCTTATACCTTTCCCCGATTTCCCCTTCCACCAAAAGCCATTCATCATGACTTCAATTTCCTGACATAGATCATTAGGCAATAAAAACACATTCATGGCATAAACCGGCATGGCCTGAATAACTGATTTCAAAAGAACCTCCCGTCCAGCTTTAGATAAAAAATTGTTATTCCAGCTAGTAATTCTTTTCACCACTCTCTGTCTAATGTAGCCCTAGATTGCTCGTTTACTCCTCCCAACTAACGCCGGGAGACCCAAATAAGTCTCCTCACTACCCGTCAATCCCACTCCCAGCAAAACAATCAATCCCTCCTTGAGCTCAGCTAAGACATTTGAACTAAAGAAAACTTTTGATTTGTTAAAACTTTTGAACTACTACACTCTTTTCTAATAAATCTCTTATGGTTTCATGTTTTTGTCGGAATATGTCCTTTATTTTACACGAAGATCCCAACATTTTAGCAACATAACCATGGAGAAATATTCAAAGAAAGCATCCACATACTTCTTTTTGTGCAATAGTCAGAACAACTAATTGTAATTGGTAAGAAAACAATGAATATAATTGTAATTGGAATTTCATTTAAGATAATCTTCAATCCATAAAGCTCACCATACATATTAGAAGTCTCGTCATATCATTGACTTCTAATTTTGTCAAAAGATCATTCATACTTCACAAAAAATGATCACCAATGCCACTTTTCAAAGAATGACCTCGTCAAGAACATGTCTAATTGTAAGAAATCGTTTCATCACAACTCGTATTCATTTCAATGTCTTATAACAATTTACATACTCTCTTTGATAGAATTTTTACACATCTAATTAGTGGGGACACTGATTAAATTTTAAAGGCTGAAGGGTCAAATGGGCCCTCGAACTAACTTAAAAAGTGTAAATCACCCCTTATATAGGAGGCTCTGTCCGGACGTCGCCATTTGGGGTGGTTCCAGGTGGAATTTTTTACTCATACCAAATTTTAGATAAAAATTCAATGGGGAAGACAGTCAAATGATTTCCTGAAAGGTAATGCGATGTTTAACTGCGCAGTTATCTTCAAAAATTCATTTGACTGCCTTCCCGATTGCATTTTTAGCTGAAATTGGATATGAGTAAACTAGACTTAATGAAGAAGATGCTCAAAATATTTTAGCAAAAAATTCCACCGGGAACCGTCGCAAATGGTGACGTCCGGACAGAGCCTTCTATATAAGGGGTGATTTGCACTTTTTAAGTTAGTTCGAGGGCCTATTTGACTCTTTAGCATTAAATTTGAAGTACTAATACTAAATTTCGGGGTGGGAAGCGGGGGCACTTACCCCCCTACGACCTCCCCTAGGTCCTCCACGGATTATATGTACATATACGTCTCTGGAGTGAAAACACATTATTGCTTTATAACATTTGAATGGAATAACTTAAATTGATTTTTTATTTGAAATCGATTTTTCAACAATCTTAACTACCTAAACATAAATTTATTTGGTATTTCATTTAATTGTAACAACAATTACACACATAATAAATTATTGAAATAAATCTTATTTTTCTATTTCGAAAACGATTTAATTACACAATGTGATAATTAATTGGTGTGTAGTTTTATCAAGATGTTAATTTTTATTTGGTGCACAATTTCACCTTATACTCGAATTTATCATATCATGGCCCATATTTTTCAAGCCATCATAGTCCATTCTGTCATGTGATGCATCATATCCGGCCATATCCAATATGATAAAATATGATATTTATATTGCTGTTAGATTATAAATAGTAATCATAAATATATGAATAGCTATACTAATTCTCTAGTTGTTCTAGTAATGTATTGTTCTAGTTATGGTAAATTATTTTAATTTAGAAAATGGTGCAGGAAAAGTCATGAATAAGTTTCTATGCAAATTATGCTTATTTTACCTTTTAAATGTCTTTCTTAGAAATCACTCTATAAAAACCACTATAATCACATCAAACAGAATATGGATTGACCTTATATATATATATATATATATATATATATATATATATATATTTTTTTTTTTTTTTATACTTAATACTTTTTTTTTTTTTTAAACCCGGTAGGTAAACCACCAAAATCAGTGGGGTAGATGCCGGGGAACATCTACCAAGTTTTATAAAACTCACGCAAAAAATTACATGGGGGGACCAAACCTTAACCCACAACAATAAGAGTAAATAAAAGTGAGAATAATATATATATATATATATATATATATATATATATATATATATATATATATATATATATATATTTATATATATAGGGGAAAGATCAAGTACAAATTGTGCTTATTGTGCAAAGATTTGTACGATGCACCGTACCTTAACGTTCTTTCTATTGCATATTGACGTTCAAAGTAGTGCATATTATTCAGCTATAAAATAGCAGTTGCACATTAACGTTCAATGAGTTTCACCCTAAAAAAATTGGGTTTTATTACAAAAATGTCACCTTGCCTTTATGTCCTTTGGATCAATTCATCGGACGGTCAAGATGAGTTTGTACTTTATATATATATAATAAGGTGGCATTTTTGTAATAAAATTCAACTTTTTTTGGGTGCAACTCATTGAACGTTAATGTGCAACTGATATTTTATGGCTGAATAATATGCATTACTTTGAACCTCAATATGCAATACAAAGAACGTTAAGGTGCATCGTACAAATGTTTGCACAATAAGCACAGTTTCTACTTGATCTTTCCCCAATATATATAGAGAGAGCTGCTCTCCTCCGAACTGCCGGAGGGAAAACTGTTCGAACCTTATATAAAGCCAATTGAGGCGTTAGATTTTGGTGATATGAACGGTCAAGATCAAATGGTCCGGAACATACATATAAAACGCAATTTTCTTTCAAAAAATCATTTGACGACCTTCCCAATTGAATTTTTTGCTCAAATTTGGTATGGATGAACTATACTTGATGAGGAACATACACAAAAAATTTCAGCTAAAAATACCACCGGTTCTAAGGGTTCTCATGAGTTCTCATTTTAAGAGGGGTTCTCACTAGAACCCTCCCCATTATATATATATATATATATATGGGAAAGATCAAGTACAAAGTGTGCTTATTATGCAAATATTTGTACGATGCACCTTGACGTTATTTGCATTGCATATTGAGGTTCAAAGTATTGCACATTATAAAGTCATAAAAATAACAGTTGCACATTAAGGTGCAACGAGTTGCACCCTAAAAAGTTGGGTTTTATTACAAAAATGCCACCTTGCCTTTATGTCCTTTGGATCAACTCATCGGACGGTCAAGTTGAGTTTGCACTTTGTAAATTAAGAAGGCTTTGTATTTGATCTCTATTCTATATATATATATATATATATATATATATATATATATATATATATATATATATATATATATATATATATATATATATATAGGGGAGGGTTCAAGTTGCCTTTATGTATATTGTTATTATAGTAAATGGGTAACGAGCCAAAATACGTAGATATTTCAAATATACTTTCTTATTTTGATGTATGAGATCGTGGCAGTCTGTCTTATCAATTATACACTCTTATTCAATCGACTAACCCTATTTGAGTCAATTCCCTAAATAAGACTAAAAAGTGGCAAAATTGCACAAATAGGACTACATTTTTTAAATTCCCTTAATAGGACTATTTATGTGTGTTTGGACAAATATACCCTTATAACTTATGAAATGTTTTAATTAATAATAAAATCATAAAAAAATTAATAAAAATCGAAAAAATACTAAAAATCGTAAAAAAATAATAGAAAATTAATAAAAAATATTTTTTAAAAAAATTAAAAAAAAAATATTTTTTTAAAAAAAAAATCATAAAATTAAAAAAAACATTACCACCCCTGCCACCCCCAGCACCACCAGCTCCCATCACTGGAGAAAAATATGCCAACATTTTAAATAATGCCATAATGATGGCATATTTAATGAAAATGTTGGCATATTGAAGAGCAATTATGCCATCTTTTTGGCATTTTCAGAAAAATATGGCATTTTTTACCAAAAGTGGAAGAAATTTCACCAATCGGAGGTGGTGGTGCTGGGAGGCGGCGGGAGGCGGTGGGAAAGGTATCCATAATTTTTTTCATTTTTTATGGATTTTTACTATTTTTTATTATTTTTTTAAAAAAATTGAAAAAATAAAAAATTAAATTTTTTATTTTATAAATGGTTTATAAATTTTTTATAATTTTTTTACGTTTTTTATGATTTTATTATGAATTAAAGCATTTTATTATAAATTAATACTCTTAGGGGTATTTAGGGTAGAAAATCAATGTTTAGTCCTATTTAGGGAATTTTAAAAGTAGTAGTCCTATTTGTGCTTTTTAGGAACTCATTAGTCCTATTTAGGACAATTTCCGTAAATCATTACTTTGCAATCTGTCCTTGTGAAATTGACCATTCTTTCTTGATGACCAAATATTTTATTTTTACGCTCCATTTGTCAACTTCTTGCTTTGCTCCTTCAACTATTTCTTATGTTTTTATAGTTGATCATATTTGGGTAGGTGGTTTCACCGATATCTTCCTACGATAGGGAAGTTGGCATCTCACAGTCTCACACAGTATATGTATTCCAACACTTATATCCCATGATAGACCTCATGGATATGAGGTGGAGGAACTCCTACTTCCGTTCCTAAAAATAACCTTCAGTACTTATTTCCTAGAATCGTGTCCTACTTTTAACCTGATTGCTTGAATAACATTAGTTCTCCAATGAGTGTTTAGGTGTTGCGGCAGCCACTAAAAAGAAATATTGTTGTGGTTGAAGAAGTGAAGAGAATTATTAATCACGATTTAAGGATAACTTTGGTTTCAAGTATTGTCAAAACCATCTAAAATGACATATGTTGATTTTGATTAAGGTTGTTAACGATTTGAGTTGAGCGCAAACATCTAGAGCTCAAGTTCAACTCTTTTGGATAATAATGGTCTTTAGAATCGAGGTTGGAACGCATCGGTATATATTATTATATAGATCATTGAAAAGAATTTTTGTCAAAGATTTGGCACAAACTAGCACGTCCTTGTCATACCCGAGCTAAAACATACTCCCTTCGTCCCATTAAACTTTTCTCGCTTACCATTTTAGGATGTCCCAAAAAAACTTTTCATTTACCTTTTTGATAAGTTTTATACGACTAACATTCATTTACTTTTTTCTTAATTACAACCATACATTTTCACTTGTTATAATTTTCTCAAACTTCAATCAAGTCCAGCCGTGAGAATTTTACAAAATAAAGGGAGTATGTAAAAGTGACCCACTCTAAAAGCAATGTTGCCAACTTGCCATGAAAAACATAGCATCCTTTTTGACAAAAAAAAAATGGGTCAACTATAAATTAATGTTTGACTCTTGATTTTTTACAGTGCAATTTAATAAAAGTTCAATATGTAAAATCAAATTATCAAGTAAAGTTGTGTCAAAGGAAATCCTGAATCGTACTGAACTGAAACTCTGACCATTAATAGGGTAAATATAACTACAAGTCAAATTCAAAATCAGAAATTGTGCAAGGATATTTTGGTTCTAATTCGAATTACATTTGTCTTTCAAAAAAACTTAATATTGTTGTTCAAAATAATCTTTATGGATCAAAAACTAAATCTATAATAATCCAATAAAACCTATAGATGTGCATTGCTTGAAACTGACAACATTTAATCTATTTGGGAATTGGGATGTAAGAAATTAATTAAGTGTGGACTAGAAAAGACCAATGTCAAGCCCGGCCCGACCTATTCTTCCATGCGGCCATGCCCCTTCAGGAAAAAACTTCTAGATCCACCATCTTGATGAACAAAAAAGCACAATTACAGGAATTACAGAAATCATGAAGTGATTGTACCACAATCATGTCTTCCGTCAACCAATTGATGTACTTCTATCTTCAGCTGGTTGTGACGTGACAGTTTGGTAATTCGATCTCACATTCTGAAACAAAAAATAACAGAAAAAATAATAAAAACATCAACTTGGCTCAAGTATCAAACATACACTACCTCTGAGAGAAATCCAATACAATATAGTTGAAGAAAGCTGATACCTCAAGCAGTGTTATATAATAGAAATCTTCCATATGCTGCATAAGTGCACTTCCATCTCTGATAGCTCGAAAGATATTGATCTCCGTGTTCAATATCTTCTCAATAAGTTCCTTCTCGCCTTTCATCTGCACATATAAAAAAGTCTCCAGTCACAAGTTGTACTCAATAATGTCAACCTGCACGGGCAGTTGCATTGATTATGCAAAAACAAGGTTAACAGTAAAAACACGTTTTACGAGATTACATGTATATGCAGAGTAGTAAACACTAAAATAAATAAAAGTTTGGTTGGACCATGAGAAACCAGCACATTTAATAAGAATCATTTTTTTATACTTCGGAAGGGCAAGAATATCCACAATGAGATGGGAAATATATGGAGGCAATTATATGTGCACAACCATATACTACGTATTAAAATTTGAGGAAAGGAATAGAAGTTCAAACATACAAATTCGCTGACAATAACATCAGGTGTGGTTTCCCCAATAATATCTCCTTGGTAACCGTCTTCCAATTGTTCGATGTTAGGCTGAAAATAACAAATGGTTGAAGCAATAAGAATCTTTTACAGGAAAGGATAAATTTTTGGATACTTTGAAGATGTTACAAAAAAAGTGTAAAAACATAGCATTACAATACATGTACGGATGTACTATCCTCAAGCGTATACATACACAAATAGATATTTGTGCTTATTAAATGGGTCTCAGCCTCTCCGGCTACACATACCACCTCCCCTTAATTGAAGCATGTGTATCGATCACGCCTTTAAGAAAATAAGAGAGCATTAAGCAGAGTAAGGTTTTCTTTACTAGGTGTTTCATATAGATTTCAATTGTTCTAAAGTAATACAATAAAAGACGTGTATAAGATCCTACCTCCAGATTTGGGTAATTCAATTTTAGCCTTTCTACTACTGCATCATTTTACTTTTTGTTCTCAATTTTCAAAATTAGCTAGATTTGGAGAATGGTGTACACGAATATTGAAAATATATCACAACTAATCTTCTAATAGGACTTAAGTAGACATTAAAACTAACACATTTCTAATGTTCAGTACCAAAGCAAGTCAAATTCGTGTTTGATGGGGGGGGGGGGGGGAATAAGAAATTAGGCTTATGATCAAGTATTGTACTCGCTCCATTCCAAAAACACATTCTTATTCTATAAAAATGAGTTTGTTTATAAGCAACTGTCCATATTACTCTTTCTTTTTGCTCAATTTAACTAAATAAACTAAGAGTACATTTGGCAAGTCAAAGCAAAACTTTATCTTGCATAAATATGTTTGTAGGTCAAACCAAGAACTTGTTTTGGGGACGAGGGGAGTAAACATGCAGGGAGGCGGGAAGTTTATAACTTAAAATGAAAATAAAAATTAAATAAAACATGTAAAAGAGTAGCCAAGTCGGAGGAGCAGTTCATCACCATTGCATGTTTCAGATCTCCTGCTGCGAGATAAACAGGTTGAGCTACATGGCAGTAGCCCATTAAACGCGGAACTGTTGGAATTATATCTCTGTGATTTACAACCCTCCAGCTATCTTTAACTTTCTGCAACAAAGGAACCTAGTTTTTAAGTGCATTAAAGCAAAACCAACGCCCCCACAAGACACAAGGCACTGAAGTCTGGTTCTACTTTTCAGCAAAGTACAGTACATTATAAAAATCTTCAATCATAACCAGTGGGAATGCTCAGTATTGATCACTTCACTACAATAGCACGCTCAATTTTAGTTCCATTTGACTATCTTGCGTGGAAATATAAGTTTCACTCATCCATTATTCTTTCTATTAAAATATTGGAATACACTATGTCACTATGGCTACTTAAAAGTTCGGCAATTGTCTAAGTTTAAGCCCTCAACAACAAAATGGAATAATTGAAATCCTCAGTTTTCCTTCAAGACAGAACCCACTGTCATCTTCTTTGCACGTGTGTGCATGAATACAGGCTAATGGAATCAAACACCAAACAGCCATCATCATCATCATCATTAACCCAGTGCCACAAAGGCTCCCACCTACGGTGGGGTAACGGGGGGTTTGATGTACGCAGCCTTACCCCTGTACTAAAGCACAGGGAGACTGTTTTCGGATGACCCATGGTGGAAATCACGTCGAAAATTGCATGGACTGATTGCTGCTTCATAACAAAGAAGCGCAGACAGTTTAGAGAGCCATTTTGCTTTATTCCATCATATTCCCAAGCCAAAAATAGGTAAACTTTGGCTCCATTGCAAATGATGGAAACACCAAACAACCAAACAAGAAAATTAAAATTAGTACTATAGTGAATGAATTATGAACTCATGATTCAAGGAAATATGAAGGTGGATTCAGCTTAAGAAAATCAGGATTCAAACCACGCAACAAAAGTCAGTCCATATAATTTTCGATGCGATTTTCACTATGGGTCATCCGGAAACAGTCTCTCTGTGCTTTAGTTCAGTGGTAAGACTGCGTACATCCGACCCTCCCTTACCCCACCATAGGTGGGAGCCTTTGCGGCACTGGGGTGATGATGATGATGATGAAAACATGAAAGAAAAGGCTTCTCATAAGTGAGGAAGAATGAAGTATTCCCAACTAGGAGTGAAGTGAGATACCCGTTCATTTGTAAACTATCTCTTGTACATTTCAATTATACAATACAAAGCTTATTTATTTGATTGAGTCTTAGTATCTCGTGTGCGGTGAGTGTACAAGAGTTTTCTTAGCTCGTGATCCTGAAAGAGGTCGGGGTGTCATGTCTCCCCAACAGAAATGTCCTCAGATAAATTGAACTTCTCTAAAGTCGAGTATAATATACTTAATGGAATTGATACTGCTACATTGGTCAATAGACTAAGGTTGAAATATTAATGAAGACGAGAACTTAGAAAATTTTAGAACTTTACTACAAGAAAAGAAGGGTTTAACTCTTATAAAAACTCTAAATTGTCTGTAAGAAAAAAATAAAAGGGCCGTCTAACCTTCCCTATTTCTCAAAAATTCCATAAAAAGTTGCTTAGATGGAAGAAGAGACGTGCTGAGAAGTGATAATATACAACATATTTTCTTTAGATTTAAGGAGATGCAGAATGTCACTTTACCTCATTATACACTTCAGCAAATGGTTTGTTCCCAACCCTTGGAGATCCAAAATTGTACATAGTCACAGAGACAGCTCCCCTCCTACACCCCCACACCAAATATCGGAAAACAAAAATGATATTGGAAAACTTAAAATATGCATTCATTTCCTTATTTGATGCAATAAGCACCCAAATAATGAACAAGAATCTCAACATAGTTATATGGTGTTAAAGTATTTGTCGCACACCGGAACGCTATAACACAACAAAACACTAAATAAGACTGTGGGCTACTCCTATTCGATTGACTTTTTAGGATGGAACCCCAAGTCTTAAAATACGGCATGTATTCATTCGGGGAGAAACGACAATATTTGATAATAAACCTGCTTGCAGTCTCCAAGAATATAGTTTTTGCATTAACAAACAGATTCACATATAATCATGTTCAAGAAACATAGTGGTCTGACCAGCAAGTAGACAATTAACAGAAATTGACAAGCAAATAGCAACCATCATGAAGAGGACAGAATGTATATAAAATTCTAAGTTCATATAGGAAGATATTACTTTGCCAATTGACTTGATGATAATTCAAGAGCAAGAAGCGTAGCCAAAGCGCCACCTAAGCTATGACCAGTTACATAAACATGCCACTCAGGTATTGGTTTGATGCCATTGTCTCTGCAATGCATTCAGTTAACTATGGTTAAGTTAAGTTAAATGTCATAATCCCAATTATGCATGAGACTAAATGATGGCACAAGAAACATTTCTTGAGTGTAGTACCTTCCAAAATGGCTAATGCTATAATGCTGTGTAAGCAGTATTGTTAACAATAAATAAATAAATAAATAAAAACAAAGCAAAAACAAGAACAAAAACAGCAAAAACAAAAGCAAAAAAAGACAAGCCCTGGCTGCCTTTAGGTTACCTAGAAATTGCAAGAATAATGAATAACTAAAAAAACTGATATCTATATAACACCTAAAGTGCTACAGCCTACAGGAAATAAAAAACAAAGATGATGATTAAGTATACGCTACATCAGGACTTATCCTTTAAATAATATTATACTTATAGTTCATTGAAGTGAATGTATGCTAAATTGGAGTCAGAAGAAATAACTAGAAAATCAACTGAAAATTCTCGTGTATCATAACTGGAAACTTACACATATCCGATTGCTTTCTTGATAAGTAAGATAAGCTTTGTTCTGACAGAATCATATGCACTTAAGAAACCACTATGAACCTGAAGGATATACAGACATTATCATTTGATAAGTCATAAAAAGGAAATAATAATAAATAATAATAATAAATAATAATAATAATAATAATAATAATAATAATAATAATAATAATAATAATAATAATAATAATAATAATAATAATAATAATAATAATAATAATAATAATAATAATAATAATAATAATAATAATAATAATAATAATAATAATAATAATAATAATAATAATAATAATAATAATAATAATAATAATAATAATAATAATAATAATAATAATAATAATAATAATAATAATAATAATAATAATAATAATAATAATAATAATAATAATAATAATAATAATAATAATAATAATAATAATAATAATAATAATAATAATAATAATAATAATAATAATAATAATAATAATAATAATAATAATAATAATAATAATAATAATAATAATAATAATAATAATAATAATAATAATAATAATAATAATAATAATAATAATAATAATAATAATAATAATAATAATAATAATAATAATAATAATAATAATAATAATAATAATAATAATAATAATAATAATAATAATAATAATAATAATAATAATAATAATAATAATAATAATAATAATAATAATAATAATAATAATAATAATAATAATAATAATAATAATAATAATAATAATAATAATAATAATAATAATAATAATAATAATAATAATATGAATATCTGACAAGATTGAAAGCTAAATAAAACAAACATTTGACAAGGAAAAATGCACTTTCGTATCTAAATTATATTGATATAGTTCATATCACCTAACTATTATTCCTATATTTTACTCCTCGACTTTCAATTATGTTGCGTATATACATAATACATCCCCTATTAACCAGAATATACCAAAGTGCATACATCCCCTATCAACCTAGCAAATTTTCCTTCATTCACCTGTTACAAATATATTGCAAAATATATAAATACTACTCTGATTTGGATCGGAGTTTAAGAAAGTGGGAAAAAAGTGGAAATGTATGGTTGTGGTAGAGTAAGAAAAAGGCAAATGAATGGTAGCCACACAAAACTTTCCAAAAAAGGAAATGGAAACTATTTTTTGGGATGGCCCAAAAAGGAAACTGGGAACTATTTTATGGGATGGAGGGAGTATATAATAATAGCTGATTAGCTACATAAAGGGGAAAAAACATAACAGTTTCAAGGTTACTCTAAATTTCTTCCTCAATCACATCCATCGGTTTATTCTACTTGCACATGATCAATGTAGCATAAACTTGAATCCATCAGTTTATGCTACTCGTACATGTGCACATAAAAGACCAAGGTAGCATAACCTTGGACCAGATATGAAGTTAGGTCAGTAGGCTCATAGCCATTCTATGTTTCGGGCTTTCCTTACCTTTTGTAATTCGAACAAGTCCGTGAACTTGACATCATATTTAGCTTGCATCTCATATAATATGATTTTGCTCATAATTGGTGCCATTGGAATCAACTCTTAAAAATGCATACTTTCAGGCTTAGGAGAAGAAAATGCAATCCCTTGGGGTATTCGAGCCAAGTTGTTGGCCAACTATCGAAACTAGAATCATCCCAGAATTCAGCAACACTTCAAAAAAGGAAAGAGGTAACCAACATGCACCAGCTATGAAATTGATGTCCGGTTAGGGGTTATTTGTTCATTGCCTTAATCTTCACGCTATAATGTTGATGGCCCTCTGTTCATTCCCTTGATCTTCACGCGATGATGTTGATGGCCCTTTGTTCATTCCCTTAATCTTGGCAGTTGGCACTTGGCATCATATTTGGCCAGCATCTAATCAACGAGTGTTCACTTGAGTGGCACCTAGCCCGCCTAGAACACTTAATCGGACCCCTAGCCGACTAGTTCAATTTTTATAACACTTCACAAGTCACAACAGATGGCAATCTAAGCAGTTAAATCGCTACTCAGTAGCAACTCAATCAAGGATTGAGTAGCAAGTGGGACTGAGTACTCAGGATTAATCGGCCATGTATTGATTAAATATAAATATACAGATGCATGAAATTAATCATTTCATTTCATTTCGTTTTCATTTACCCCAGTGCCGCAAAGGCTCCCACCTACGGTGGGGTAAGGGGGGGTCGGATGTACGCAGTCTTACCCCTGTACTAAAGCACAGAGAGACTGTTTCCGGATGACCCATAGTGAAAATCGTGTCCAAAATTGCATGGACTAACTGCTGCTTCATAAGAAAGAAGCGCAGACAGTTTAGTGAGCCATTTTGCTTTATTCCGTCATATTCTCAACCCAAAAAATTATGAATCTTTGGCTCCATTGCAAATGATGGAAAAAGATGCATGAAATTAATCATCTAATAATTTGGTCCAATACTAATCTTCATTGGGTTCAAGGTCGTTGTTTTCTTCTTCATCTTCCATGTCCCCAAATAGACTTCGGAAGATTAATTTCCACTTTCTAAAATTCTCACTAATTATTTATAAATTTCATAACATCCCACTTTAACTAAAAAAATCAGATTCAACACCCAAAAAAATTCAGAGTGGCCGAGTAACGCACCGAGTCAAATATTTCTCCGAGTTAAGAAACTCGCCAAGTACTCCGTGAGTAACTCAGGAAAACAGGACGGACCGAGTCAGATAGCTAAACGGGATGCCCACTCCCTCAGTTGCGGGTACTAGCCGAGTACTCACTGAGTAATTATGAAATGAATAATGTTCAATAGAGTCCCCCTGAAAACATCTCACTACTTTTACTTTCATTTGGTGCAAAATCTGCTGTGGGTGGCACCAGTAATAATGCCGTTGGGAGTTTTAAGTCTAAAAACAGTTAGGCAGATACAATCCACTTAGAAGAGATCACCATGGACAATTAAATGCTTCAATCATCTCTCCCACACGGGGACTACGAGTGGTTCCGCTTCCTAGCTCTTACCCCGTTAATTCTCACCCGTTCCTTGGGGATTTGACTCAAACACTAGTTGCCTAAAGGCCCTAAACCCGAATCCGTTCTCCTCAGTTACTCTTCTAGTCTACTGTGCTTATTCGTTTTAGTTCTGAGTCAACCTCTACACTTTGCTAGCTTTATATTTGACTACCCAGCCTACCCTATAAGGCTATAAGTATACTCCGAGAGGGGATGGGGGCAATTGACTGGCAAATCCACTTCACTATGAGACACAGTTTTTTCTTAAATCACTTCAATTATGGTTGATGTTGGTTATTGCAAGCATCATACGTAGTATTTTATAATAGTTCTCAAGCAAGCCAGCCGAAATACTATTTCTGAATTTGTTTGTCTCTTGGTGATATATTACTTTAATTTTCTAATGTAGACTACAATTAGGGTGACCAAAGATGCTTATTACATTCTAATACTCATGACCATGCTATGACTAGCAATGTCATAGTGCATGCCATAATTGGGATCTGCAACCCATGCCGTCAGACACCCTCAAGTCTCTGTTCTGACTAAAGTACAAGTATTAAGGCAATGTACTTGGAGCAATAGCTTGTGAGTTTGCTGTTATACTGATGCATTGAGGCAGTTGAAGCTATGGGCGGCTGTGGGCTGTGGAAACATTGCGGAAGATCATGATGGATTAGAAAAGTTTTTTAAAGAAACTACTGGTTTAAATGGAAGTCAATGTCGTGTGCGGAGCAAAATATGCCAGCCCACTTACTAGCTACTTGGTGAAAACTGAAAAGACAATGTGATAGGAAAGGAGCTTATTAGCATTAGTATAATAATAATAATACTAATAATAGCATTCTAGGAAATAGTGGGGATAGTATAAAAATAAGACTACTGGGCCAGGTAAGTCATGAGTTGGGCTGGCCCTTTTGTTCAAGTATAAGAAGGAGAGGGAGGAAAGGGAAAAGGAGGCAGATTTTAGAATTGGGAAATTGGTTCTGGGAGAGTTGAGGCCTCTCGAAGTGCCCGCATCTGTATTTTCTTCTCTTTCTGCGTTTAAGCTCAATAATACTCATCGATCTACTGTTACGAAATCTGAGTACCTATCAATGGTATCAGAGCATTCCTTCCTGGCATCTGAATCGATCGATCAACAGCATCAACGAACTGGAGAGATGGAGAAAGACTGGACACCAGAAATGGAGGCTCGCATGGATAAGTTCAAACTGGAGATGAAGACGGCTATGGCAAACTTCACTGCATCCATGACCGCACCGATTCAGAAGGGCATCGCGGATTCTATGGCAGCGATCTCAGCATCTACCGCTGCAAAGAAGGGACAAATCCGCACAGATCGCGAAACTGGCGCTCTTTTGAAACCAGCATCTACCACATGGAGTGAGCAGTTCCGATCTCAACCTAGACACCACGCGCGACGCTCTAACAATCCAACGACTTCAGAAGAGAAGTTGAATCTCTTATCCGAAAACTTTGATCCAAAGTTTTTTGCATCCTGGATTCACCAAAATACTAGTGCAGCAGACCTGGAATCTGATGCTCCTTTGAAATCTGGTTCCCATAGATCATCATCGCAAGTCGGCTACCTCATCAGTTTGCAGAAATTTCCCCAATCGCGAACAGTTTTGCCTAGTTCGCAGACGTCATCTTGTGCGCAGTCGCTAGCTGATTCAACCGAATCGCAGATGGCATCGCAAACCTCATCAGCTTGGGCTCGAACAGTAGCTTCCAGCTCTGTTTCTTCTCAGTCGCGAACAGCTCTTCATAATTCGTCGCCAGACCCTCGACATCAGACTTCTGCATTCGCCTATCCTCACAGTTCGCAGACTTCCTCTCTATCTGTTGTTTTGAGTTCTCAGGATAAGACACAATCGACTTCTTCCAGTACACCAGCTTCGTTGATATCAGATTCACTGAGTTCGCCCAATTTGCCTCAGTGGCAAGCAACTTCTCCCAGCTCGCACGTTATGTCACAAATCACTCCTCTCAGTGCGCAAGTGTCAACCGCATCCAGAACCGTAGACCTAGCAGAATCGGGAAATGGCTTGTCTGTTGCACCATCAGTCTCGGAAGTTGAGCAGGACGAGGATACTCCTGAACCTATTAAATCTCCACCAAACATTCAAAATAATCCAAACATTCCTATAAAGGAAGACAATGGAATAAGTTCAGGATCAGTTTTCACTAATTCAGATGTCAAGCCTGTGAGGGAAGAAAAGGGGAAGATGATTACTGTTGACAGTTGTTGTGCCAGTGGTAATTTTGCCATTGGTGTGAAAGTGAACAAGGAGGGTGCCTTTCACTACTATATGAAAATCTCTGTCCAACCAATTTTTATCCCAGAGGAAAATGTGAGAAAAATTACAGATGAATGTTCTCTGGAAGTAAGTGAAAATGTGGTGATTGTTAATAAAGCTGCAAGGGATGGAGTACTTGTAGCAACAAACAGGTCTCTTGTGAATTGTGAAGTAAAGGTGGGACCGTGGGATCTCAGCACCTATGTGTGGAATCTCTTGGAGTGCAAATGCTGAATCATCAAGAATCATGTATTTCTTTTGACAGATCCCCTTTGAGAATTGATACAACTGATACATCCCCAATATCGTGGAGAGGTGAAAAACATTTTCTGAAGGGTGTTGCTTATGCTGAAAATCAGGACCAAGCTCAATTGGGTGCCTGTGTTATAATACTCTCGGATGCCTTGGCAAAATCATGGGTGCAGGATGATCCACAGATAATTTCATTTGATGAATTTGTTCTTGATAGCATTAATGAAAGAAAAATTCATGCAATAAAGAAGTTCAGTGCTGTTATCAAATTTCAGAATCATGACCAGGTCTTTGGACCTATTCCAGTAGAATCAGTGTCTTCAATCATGTCTCTTGCTGTTAAAACTGGATGGTTCTTTGCACCATTTAGAGCTGAAACTCCTCAGATTATGTCTGCCTTATGTGAGAGAATGCTGAATTATGATGAAGATCTGGGTAAGCCAGTTGCTGCTGTTCTCTATGATGTAGCAGCTGAAGTTACTACAGGGGCAGCTGGGTTTTATCTTGCAGAACCTTTATATGATGACATCGGTTACAAAGAAGAGGCTTCAAGTGTACTTCCAGGGAGTTCTTATATCCAACTTCTGCTCTTGTTTGCTGTGGAAGAAGTGAAGAGGAAAGGTCAAGTAATGAATGGCAGGGTCAAGCAATCTGGGAGATATTGGGAAGGGAGAGGTGCAAGAATGAAGTGCAAGTTGAAGATCAAGGCTGACTCCTATCACCCACCTTGAGGACAAGGTGGTTGTTTAGGGGAGGAGTAATGATAGGAAAGGAGCTTATTAGCATTAGTATAATAATAATACTAATAATAGCATTCTAGGAAATAGTGGGGATAGTATAAAAATAAGACTACTGGGCCAGGTAAGTCATGAGTTGGGCTGGCCCTTTTGTTTAAGTATAAGAAGGAGAGGGAGGAAAGGGAAAAGGAGGCAGATTTTAGAATTGGGAAATTGGTTCTGGGAGAGTTGAGGCCTCTCGAAGTGCCCGCATCTGTATTTTCTTCTCTTTCTGCGTTTAAGCTCAATAATACTCATCGATCTACTGTTACGAAGTGGAATGTTATAGGTAATACGCTCTCATAGGGATACAGAGGTGGGGAATGAATAAAGAGGAAAAGATCGAGAAGTTTTAAACTAAGGAGATGAAAGTATAAGTTTTCTGGAAAGGGTCAGGTCACGTAGCTCACCTTATATTAGGTGAGACATATGACTAACTAAATCGCATGACTAGAAATCAATGCCAAACTCCCATTGAACACATACAACTCAGCCTCGGATAATTATTTGTACCTGAACTTCCTGCTTGAAATCACCTCCTATCCTTTCAGGGTTTAGCCTATAGAGTAAAGATACAGTCAAAAGTAAAAATCAGGCAACAATGCATACAACACCAAACACAATGACGCATTTAGTTTATTTGTAGCTTGAGAGACATAGCTAGTTTTGAATACAGTACACATAGCATAGTTATAGTCTTCAGATCAGCACACCCTTAGCAGACCTAGGGCACAACTGCACAAGCATAACCCTTTTGAGTGCGCGTGTGCACATATGTATTAGACCTAGGCCATTTATAATCCAAGGCTCAACATAAGTATGCAAACTTTAACAGCTCGGAACTTTAATTCGTAGATAACATAAGTACAACGAATCAAGAATGACAAATATATATCCAATACTTAAATGTTGCAAGTGTCAAACAATGAAGTTATATACTTATATTTGATACATGCTGATTCATGAAGGTATTCAATAGTTTTGGCTTGGATAACCTAATACAGAAGGTAGTTTTACATCTACTTGCTTTCGATGAAGTGCCATAATGAGTCCTGATTGCATTCAAGTTACAAGGAACAGATATTTTCTGAATTTCAACTGCATAGCATATACTAGAGCAGTTCAGCAGAAATTATTAGCCCTTGCAAATGATGGGATTTATATGAGCTAAAACATCTAATACATTAAGAGAGTGTGTATACGTACCCTGTTGGAACCACCATTAAATCCGTCCGAAGATCTTTCCATCTAGCCTGGAAAAAGAAATAGGAAAGTGCTCTAACCGAGATACGTTAAACAATTTATAATTTACAATATGCATAAGCAGGAAGTCAGGAACCCACTTGTTCTGTTCCTCTGAAAGCAACAACTAATCTTTTACGAGATTGATCTCGCCAAAGCGCAACCTGCAGATTTACACAGTATGGAATTAGAAGTCCATCTCTCCCCTAATCCCAGTTCGCTACCAAGAGAAAAATGCTCTCTAAGCCCCATTCTGTTTTATCTTCTTCATGTTTTGGTATATCCCAAATTCACTTTCGTAATTTGAAACCCACTACTTTTTATTTATTTTCCGGTTTATCTTTTCTAACTATCCTACAAAATTATACTTGGTTGGTACCATTGTTCTTGTCTTTTCAAGAGGTAAATATGAAATTTGTTATCTTCAAAATTGTATCAAAGAAGGGTGTATCATACACTATGAAATGAAGGTCAAAAGTAATCTATAGTAGCACTTTTACTTCATCAGGTGGGAGGAGGGGTGTATGAAAGTACAATCCATAGTGAGTAATAAGTTAATAACAGGTGAACCTGCCTGAGTGTCAGTGGATGAGTTATCTAAGAAGCATATCTTATCAAATTCAGATTTGATAAAAGTTGGGTGCCCCAAGGATGTGGCTAGCATCGCCCAAGCCTCCATAGCCGTCTCTGCTTTTGTAAAAAGTTCCCTCATTTCCTCGGCATTCTTTTCATTTAACAACGTTCCGCAGTTATGCATTGAATATCCATAAACATCACTCTTTATTTCATTTGCTGAGTCCTTATTTGTGTCACCACTTCCTATAAGTCTCACTTCTTTGTTCAACTTGGAAGCTGTAGAATTTAGAACCATATGAGCACCCAAAATGGAATCAGCCTGTCGTAACAAATCTCCTGTTGCCTTCTTTATATCTGGCAAAGATGACTGAATGGTGTTAATTATTTTTGATACAGACCGTTCAGTTGATCCATCACTATTAAGAGTCTCCTGTTTTTCAGGAGTAGCAAGTCCAGATTCAATATAACCTGCCTCTGCCACTTCTTGAAATTGCAACCCAATTTTATTTAAGAAGTCCAATTCATCCCACCTTATTTTCTCAAAAGCTGGGAAACCAAGTCTCTGAACAACATTATGATTCACCATTTCAGCGAAGTTTTTCCAAAAACTCTTATCAGACAGCGAGGCCTCAACAACGTGAGTCCCTGAAGGATTAAGTTCCTCCCGCTTTGAGCCACTTGGGGAGCACTCTGGATCTTGAAGCCTATCTGGCCGGTTTGAATAACTTAAAGAGATATCTAATGTTGAAACTGCAACATGTTCCATAGAATGCTCAGAAGGTTTTACTATTTCATCAGTTTCATTTGAAGTCTGCTCCTTTTGAATGTCAGCGTTATTAAACAACTTTAGCTGTGGAAAAGCAAACTGAACAAACTCCCGTGCTTGCACCACCTCTGAGCCAAGAATTGTCTTCAATGCAGATTCAAAACCATTTCTCTCAAGAAGTTCTGTAATTATTGGAATGTGCCACCACTTCTTTTCTTCTTGAACTTTATCAAAACTCTTGTATTTAATCTGAAACATTTTATGTGATAAGTGAGAGTGCACACAAAGAAATGAAAGCAGACCCATAAATATACAGAGTAATTATATTAATAAATCATTAGTAAAGCTGTAAAGTTGCACAGTAAAAAGGTTGTCGAACCCAGACATCAAAGTTCAAGTTCAAAAATATAGATTAGGTGGTTCTTCTGTCTAAAAGGTTTAATATGGCTGAGATAGGCTTCCTACATAAAGTCAAACCAAACCACTTTCAATATGTCTCACTCCGTTACTCAGTAGTAGATTTTGAGGGGAGTGGGATGTACACAGACCATACCTCTACGGCTCTACCCCTAGGAGCAAAAAAACTATTTAAGTGAACACCAGGCTAAGAAAAATTTGTAAAGTTCTGGAAGATGTTGAAATTTTGAAAAGGAAAAAAAAACTGAAAATGTTTGAAAGTTAATAAATTAGCAAATGTTTTGGAGTAGAAAAAAGACTGATACGTTGCAAATTAAAAAATGTGAATGTGTCAATCTATCAATGTTTTATGCATTTATAAGCAATTCTTTATTGATGTGTCTACTTTGATGTCCTTTAAAGACTACTATTTGTAATCGGAACTCGGAAGTGTAGAAACTGAATATGCTATCAATACAGTGTGGCTCTTGTAATAAGCTATAGAAAGCAAGACATAAAGAAGGAAGGTTATCGTCACAGTTCGGTTTGGAAAAATATATCTACAGGACGGGATTGGATGTGAAAAAAATAGGGAGGGAGGATTGCAGAGAAAGAAATGAGAGAGAAGAGAGTAAGTTGCAGACTTTCAGTCGATAATGAAATATCATTGTTCCACTCAGTTCAATTCTTTACATGCCAAAATTCAGGTAAGAAACAATAAAATCTTATCTAAAGTTGGAGAATTAAATTTGTCACTTGACATACCTCTATCTGTAACTTTCCACCACCTCCCATGCCCTGCAAACCAACAACCACTTCATGCATTTCTCCTGCAAGATATTTTTTTTAGCTTTTATAGAATATTTTTTGTTTATTAGCTATCAAATAAAGTTTCTATTGGCACACGCGCACACATTCCCTTTGTCCTACATTACAAGGGATTTTTTGGATAACGAGAAATGACCCAACTTATTTACAATTAAATATTGGTAATATTTAGTCTAGTCATCATCATCATTACCCCAGTGCCGCAAAGGCTCCCACCTACGGTGGGGTAAGGGGGGTCGGATGTACGCAGTCTTACCCCTGTACTAAAGCAGGGAGAGACTGTTCTGAATGACCCATAGTGAAAATCGCATCGAAAAGTATATATTTAAAACTACACTAAAAGTTGAGTAAGAACAAAAAATTGGTTTGAATATGATAAATTTTGTAATACAAGTGGTGGATAAAGAGGAGTTGGTTTGACCACATGAATAGTTAAAGACTTAAAGGTATGCATAAAATGGTTATAAGACTGTGGTTATAAACTTATAAGCACTATATACACTTGGCATAAATAGATCAACCATTTCAAACGATAAATGATAAGAAGAGAAAATGACTTAACACATCAAATTTTAGCAGATTTATGCTCAAGTATTGTGCTTACTGCTTAGGACCCTTTTATAACGCAACCAGAACAACAGGCTGTGTACCAAGTTTGCTGTTGTGCTATGATGAGTTCCAAAATAATATGACTGACTGATAACTGGAATAGTATAAAGAATTGTAGAAAATGTTACATTTAATTGTTATTATTAGATAGTGTACGTGTGTAGCTGTAGATAAGATTTTGTGAACAAGTATTGTTGTATTTCATATACTTGATGATAAAAAACTATACAAGAAGCTATATTTATAGCTATATTTAGAGTACTAGGGTTTCCTAGGGTTTCCTATGCAAATGGGCTAAGCCCAATACTACTAGGGTTTCCACACTCCCCCTCAAGCTGGAGCATATAAATCATATGTACCAAGCTTGTTACAAATATATTCCACTCTAGGACCTCTAAGAGACTTAGTTAAAATATCTGCAAGTTGTTCAGTTGTGTTCACATATTTTGTGATGATATGTCCACTCGCGATCTTCTCTCGGATAAAATGGCAATCAACTTCAATATGTTTTGTCCTCTCATGATATACCGGATTCGATGCGATATGCATTGCAGCTTGATTATCACACATGAGTTGAACCGGTTTTGTGTTCCCATATTTTAACTCTTGGAGGAGATGCTTCAACCATAAGATTTCACATGTAGCAAGGGCCATTGCACGATATTCTGCTTCAGCACTAGATCTGGCAACCACATCATGTTTCTTACTTTTCCATGAAATTAAGTTTCCACCGATCAAGATGCAATACCCCGAAGTGGAACGTCTATCCATCGGACATCCGGCCCAGTCTGCATCACAGTATCCCAAAATATCATGGTGGCCTCGATCTTCAAACAACAATCCTTGCCCTGGAGTTTTCTTGATGTATCTCAAAACTCGGATAGCTGCATCCCAGTGTCCAGTACATGGCTTATCAAGAAACTGACTAAGAACACTTACCACAAATGAAATATCTGGTCTTGTGATGGTAAGATAATTCAATTTGCCGATGAGTCTTCTATATTTTTCTTTGTTGGGCAAAAGATCTCCTTGTTCTGATAAGAGTTTAACGTTTGGATCCATAGGTGTATCCACTGGCCTGCAATCTAGCAAACCTGTTTCCTCAAGAATATCCAAGGCATACTTTCTTTGTGAGAGAGCAATTCCATCTTGAGACTGTGCGACCTCAATGCCAAGGAAGTATCTCAATTTTCCCAAGTCTTTTGTTTGAAATTTGCTAAAGAGATGTTGCTTGAGGAGCGCAATTCCTTGATCATCACTACCTGTAATGACAATGTCATCAACATACACAACAAGATAAATACATTTGTTGCCAGCAGAATGTCTGTAGAATATAGAATGATCGACATCACTGCGAATCATGCCAAAGCTGCAGACAACGTCACTAAACCTCCCAAACCATGCACGTGGAGATTGCTTCAAGCCATATAATGAACGACGTAATCTGCACACCATACCAGACTCCCCCTGAGCAACAAATCCAGGTGGTTGCTCCATATAAACTTCCTCGTGCAGATCTCCGTGAAGGAATGCGTTTTTAATATCCAATTGGAACAATGGCCAGTGGCTCATTGCTGCCATGGATAAAATCAAACGAACTGATGTTATCTTCGCTACAGGAGAAAAAGTGTCAGTGTAATCCAAACCATATATCTGAGTATACCCTTTCGCCACAAGGCGTGCTTTCAAACGATCAATCTCCCCATCAGGCCCAACTTTAACTGTGTAAATCCACCGACATCCCACCATTGATTTCCCAGTGGGAAGAGGGACTAAGTCCCACGTCCCACTAGAATGAAGAGCCTCCATCTCAGCCAACATGGCTTTACGCCACTCCGGGTGTGCCAGTGCCTCATGTGTGGTTTTAGGAATGCATATATGAGACAGGTGTGAAATGAAAGCATGGTAAGGGGTAGAGAGGCGGTGATAACTCAAAAAGTTATATATGGGATGTGGATTCAATGTGGAACGCGTACCTTTTCGGAGGGCAATGGGCAAATCATCCTGAGTGGTTTCAAGTGCTGGAGTAGGTGATGGTGGTGATGCAGGATCCGTCGTAGGGGAATCAACGGGCGTGGCCACGATGGGCTCAATGGGAGGAGGTCGAGGACGTCGATGGTATACCTGTAATGGACGGTTCGACATAGGAGGGAAGTTTGGGTGCTCATCAGATGGGGGGTTAATGGGAGTCTCCTGATGGATGGGCCGGAGATATGAGGTGAAGTCCAAACATGATGGGGTATCAACTGAAGATAATGGATAATAAAAGGACGACTCAATGAAAGTGACATCGGCTGAAATAAAATGTTTCTTAAGTATTGGAGAATAACAACGATAACCCTTTTGGAGTCGCGAATATCCAAGAAAAATACATTTTATTGACCTAGCCGACATTTTAGCTAATCCAGGTGTCGTATCATGGACAAAACACACACATCCAAACACATGAGGTGGTAATGGAAATAAATCACGAGCAGGAAACAAAATAGAATAGGGAATTTCATTATGAAGAACTGAGGAGGGCATTCTATTTATTAAATGACACGCAGTGAGCACAGCATCTGCCCAATACTGAGGTGGTGTATGGGAATGTAATAATAGGGTACGAGCAGTATCAACCAAGTGTCGGTTCTTGCGTTCAGCAACCCCATTTTGTTGAGGCGTGTGAACACAAGATGATTGGTGAAGCATACCCCGTGATGTCATGAATTGATTAAAGGGTGCCGCAAAAAATTCTTTTGCATTGTCACTGCGTAAAATTTTGATAGAATGACCAAACTGAGTGCGAATTTCAGCACAAAAATTTTGAAAAATATGAAATAATTCAAAACGATCTTTCATTAAAAACAACCATGTGTAACGAGAAAAATCGTCCACAAAAATAACAAAATAACGAAATCCTAAAGTAGAAGTGACTCTGTAAGGACCCCATACATCTGTATGAACTAAATCAAAGGGGGACGCAGCCCGTTTATTGACCCGTCTTGGAAAGGATTGACGAGGTTGCTTTCCAAGATGACATGACTCACACTCTAAAGATGAAAGACTTGAGAAACCTGGAACCAGACGTCGAAACTTTGAGAGGCTAGGATGACCCAAACGATTATGTAAGGTAATGGCATGATCAACCGACACACAAGCAATTGGATCAGGAGGATGAAGATGATACAAGCCTTGAGATTCATGTCCGACGCCAATCGTTTTCCCCGTACAACGGTCCTGCACAATCACAGAATCAGCAAAAAAGGTTATAGAACAATTAAGAGCACGTGTAATTTTGCTAACAGAGACAAGGTTAAAAGGGCTATTGGGAACATATAAGACTGAGTCTAATGGTAAGGAAGAAAGTGGAAGTGCTTGCCCAATACCCGTGGCCGAAGTTTGAAGGCCATTAGCGAGAGTAATTAAAGGAAGATGTTGATGCTTGGTAATACGGGATAAAAGATGGGGATTACCAGAAATATGATCTGAGGCACCGGAGTCAAGAATCCATGAGCTTGTGGTGTTTGAAACACAAGCGGTAGACGTACCAGGTGTAGATTCAAGCATGTGACTTGACTTAAATTTCTGATATGTTGCATATTCAGCTGGAGATAGAACAACCGGAGATGGAGGGATCTGAGCAACATTGACTGAGCTAGGAGGTCTCCCATGTAACTTCCAACACTTGTCTTTAGTATGACCAATCTTTTGGCAGTAGTCACACTTAGGACGGTTTCGCCGTGGATATCCTTTGTGATTTGCTCCATCAGAACCTGAACCTTGGGATGCAAGAATGATAGAGTCGCTAGAGCCTGATTCAGCAGATATCGGAGCTGCGCGAAGAATTCGAGCAAAAGCATCTGTCATAGTAGGAATAGTGGAACTAGAGAGAATCTGCTCTCGTATTGATAATAGTTCTGGACGAAGGCCTGCCAAGGCTAAAACCATAACCAATTGTTGTCGTTGTTCAAGTTGTTTCTCTTTATCTTCCGTGATTGGCTGAATGGTATTATACTCAAATAGTAAAGCCTCAGCCCGTCCCAGAAAATCTTGAATATCTGAATCCTGTTGTTTGAGTGTGGCAATTTTGGAGCCGAAAGAAAACAGACTTTGAATATCGTTCGTGTAATTAGACTTGGCTTTTTCCCAAATCTGTTTACACGTTCGATAGGATTGATATGTGAGATGAAGTTTCGAATCCATTGATTGCCACAAGACATTGCACAACAGAGCATCCATATTCTCCCATTCGGTCTTCTTTTCTTGGACAGAAGTAGCATCTTTAATCAAGTGATCAATTTTTCCTTGACCTTTGAACCACATCTCCACGGAAATGGCCCATGATTGGTAATTAGCACTTCCAATTAATCGATCTGTAGTGATAATTGGAACAGAAGCAAACGAAGAAAAA